AATTTTGTCTTTTTATCTTGAATATTGTCGCTTAGTAACACTTCATAAGAATCGGAAAATGTACAATTGACATTTATGAATAAAGAAACTGCTAGTCAATGCCCCCATAATGGGTTTCTAGTACGTTTTTTTAATGCATTATTCATGTATTTTATTGTATTGTATTTTTTTAATTCATTCATATATCGTTATTATCAGAAAAATTGTGTTTCGTTCAAACGTCAAAATGAAGTACCAATTGATCAATTTGAGTAATCAGGATTAGTATAGGGTTAATCGGATCTCTTTTGATAAATTAGGAGAATGCACAAGGCTGTTCTTAAATGGACAGGTTCAAGTTTGGTTGGAATACCAGGCAATATTAATGTACTCACTGCTGGGATGCAATGCCTATCCATGGAAATAATAGGGGAGAGAACGGGCCATAACGCACGCAGACTCAGTGCAGATTGGTAAGTGTTAACAACTGCAAATGCAGCCGGGACCAGCGTTTTAATGTTTCTTTCAAAGCACGGAAGAACTCGAGATAATAAAATTTAGTCACCTATCGTATGACTGGCATTTTCGAATATCGACCGGCAATAACCGAATACATCTAGAAATACAGAATTTTTCATGAATATATTCGTACGAACGTACGAGTACGTTCTGTAGTTTTCGACCTTATAACGTCCAAATAGACAGTCAGACACGGGATAATGGATCATTATTTTCTAATGTAGTGATGTCATGACACACGAATTCGATACTCGTTCTTCATATATCAAAATCAATATGATTGTCAAATAGCATATTCAAAATGGCGCGGACGGACGGGAGGGTCAACGGCCTTAGCGGCCATGACTTTTGTTGACTTACGAGACATTCGAGACAAACGTGCCGCGGTGGCCTAGTTTATAACACGCGTGCTGCGATCGCTTTTGTGCAGGCGCCGTCTGGGACGTTAAAATGAAGATGGGTGACCGAAAACTATGATGGCCCGGCGATTCTTGCCGGTTTTTCTTCCGTGCAAGGTGTCTCTTAGATTTTCGAATCGATGACACAGCTTACGACATTCATCTATTCAGACTTGTAACATCCTCGACTGAATTAATGATACAGAATTTAAATAAATTATTTATAATTGGAAAAGAAAATATTTCTATTTATGCTATCATATCCGAGGTTCTTAGTTCGGTGTATCAATATAAAGATTAACCTTTTTTGTATCATGTCGGGTCTGGGTGATTGTGGTACCTTCGCTGTGTTCAAACTCTAGACTTACATAAACAAGAAGTGTAGGTACTTGTTTTTATTGAGGATATAATAGTCATAAAATCGTGTTGCTTTACTCGCTACTCACTTCGCGTTGACTATTATAAAATGTCTTACTTATTTGACTTTTGTATGTGCATCAGTGTTCCTAGCCTTACGATAATTATCGTACGTGGATTGTACGATAACGTCATGATGATATAAAAATTAACTTTATTTCTACCATAATATCCAGTAACATGATTTATTCTCTCTCTTTTTTCATAGCACGATAAAAAAAATATCCAAATTTGTCCGTAAACTCGAAAAAGGGAATATTTATACATAGTATAATTGTTATACCAATATTATTATTTATCTTATAGAACGATGCTCTCTTACAGAGGAAGAAACAAGTTAGCTTGTTGAAATCTCTGACAGCTATATTGGAAAGGCTATCACCGATTTAGCGATATATAATGGGTTTTGTTAAATAATTTTGAACCACGTATAATTTATTAATTTCCAATGCCCTGTAAACATAAAAAAACGAGTCCTATGAATTCGATACTAAAATAGTACTTCCTTGGTTCAAATCAGAGTATCGAATAATGATAAAGCTTGTTACTTTATCACACGTTGAGAATGACAATGTCATTAACCAAAATTTTGTTTTTCTTTTTGGCAAGATTTTTCTTGGTTAAGTACAAACTTTAAAATGCAAAGATCCTTGTGAACTTAATTTGCATAGAAACTTCTAGGTGACGTATAGACGGAGATACGGCGGATTACAATTTCTTGATCTTTAAACGGTCATTACTGAAAATCGCATTTTTTGCATTGTGTCACTATAGTTCTCAACGTATGTTATGTACAGTGAACAACACGTCAGACTATACAAATTATGTTAAATTACTTCATTTGATTTTAAGCCATATTACCTTGGTAGTAGTTTAAAATTATTTTTAGAATTTAGACGTATTTTGCTGGTGTATGATAAATATGATAATTTTGCCGGTTTCATACGATAATTTTCGCAACGGAATACGATAAGGGGTTCGCTTTTCGTTGTGAATCAGGTTATCGCAAAGGTTAAATTAAATTTACCACAGTTGATTTTATGCTCTTACCCCAAAGTATATATTTAAGGGACTGTACAATGTCAAGGTATTTTTGTTTTATACCTATAACTCAAAGCAAATATTGGGATCCTCTGCTGTAATACAAAGGTTGAGAACCTCTGCCTCGCCGACACGTGGTTATATGGCTTCAGTCAGGGTCGTCCCTCGCACTAACTTCCTAGGTCAAAGTGTCATGTTACGAACACCGTTTGCCGGTTTACTGACCGCAATGGGATATACTGTTCCCAATAACTTACTACATACTATTATACCTGCACTAGACATGTGTACTCATCACATAAGTTATAATATCACTTATTTAAAAGACTTCGCTCGCACATTTGGTCACAAATTGTTGTACTTCCTAGATATGTGTAAAAAGATTTGAATACTTCGAGTTTACAGTTTTCAATGAGCTTCACGCAAATGTGGCAAACGTACAAAACATTTGGACCCTTTGATGCTAAAAAACCGAAACGGAACATGGTATTGAATAAATACTTATTTGATTACATAAGTGTTCCCTCACATGTCTGGCACCAGAATATTAAGTCTGCCTAACACAACCAAAAATTTTTGTAGTTCGTTTTATCGTACGAAAAACTCGAAAAAACTAACAAGCCAAAGCATATATAAAAGGAGATATGCCAAGGGAACTCTTTCATGGAACGCTTTATAAACAGATTTTCATACCATTTCCATAAACATCATTTTTGAGAAAGGATATATAATCCATCAAGCTTTTGTATACCTTGGTAGTATTTTTGGAAATCGAAATAGGGATATTTAATCATGGAGTAGCCATACCGTTGCGAGACACGTCACTTCACTCGTTAATTTAAAAAGTATACACAGCTCTCCTTGTAATTAAAATTACAATAAAGACGTGCACTAGCAATTTACTTATAATGAATTGTGAGCCTTATACTCCAGACAATAAAAGCTTTCTCCTTTGATGATTACAATTTGGATAGAAGCCGAGCCTCCTGTGCCTTTATATTTCAGGTCTGTGACCTGACAAGTATTACGATTTCGATTTTTGATTCTAAGTGACACATGTGTATATGCAGTATACAGCGATTTACCTAAATGGCCTCTTAATTCCTATGGTATAAGAGCGTGATTCAGTCAAGCAAGAAAACAATTTATAACTGCCGTGACAGTCTCGAATCTTGCATCGGTCCCTTGCCAGAATTAGAATTTCCGTGTAAAATGAAAAAATCACATAATATAAATAAAAAGAATGTGCATGATTATATAAGTGTGATACATTTAAACACTGTATTTCCTTCCACCCCCGTGTCTCTGTCTCTCCCCCTCTGTCTCTTTCATTCGTTCTCACATAGTAATAATCCTTTCTCGTAGTAAAATTATGTATGTCGACGTACCTACCTATCATTGTTTCGAGTTCCGTTAGGTACTAATCTTCACACCGAATTATATACAAAATGATATGTTCTGTTTTCGCACAGTTCAGCTGTATGTACCCGCGTAGAATACAAGCGACGAGCAATTTACACTTAAAAAGAAGTAGTATACAGTAAGATGCAACTGATGTGGCTAAATTTCGAAGCGCGACAATTGTCCGCCAATCAAAATTTTTCAAGTATACCTGCACCTATTTATCATAGATTTACGAAACCACGCTTTGCTATATGAGTACATATTGTGGGCTATTGCAGAGTAATTATTACCCAAAACTGTTATAAGCTGTGGTCGCATTTTTTTATACTTGTATCATAAATGCAAAAGCAAACAATATGGATAAGACATTTTCCGTAAAATGTTTCTGGATTTGACTGAACATTGTTTATGTTGGTAGTAATCTACTTAAATCTTTAAAATAAAAACCTTTTTGTGCAGTTTTTATTTCAGTTGTTATAATACATTTTCTATTTTTCCTCTGTTCGAGTAGTTGGAATACTTATTAAAATATTTGGTGATGTCTTTGGTCTAACTGAAGTTCACGAATAAGTAAATAAAAGTAGAGCTTAATAATATTCGCTTCTCACTTGTACCACAACATGAAGCATGACTGATCATTAACTCTGACCGCGCGGTCGTTGCGTAATGCGCGACGGTCTGACAGACAGACATTGTGTGTATGTAAATGGGGCCCCGACACTATGCCTTGTGCGCCACGCTCCGCGAAGAGATGTTTTGTGGCCACTGTTAACTTTTATGGTGCATTAGACTTTGGTACTGATGTGTTACTTTGGTTTGAAAAGTTACGTAGCACCGCCCTGGCGCGCCTCTTTGTTGCTAGTTAAATTTTACTAGGAAATTATGGTTTAACTATGAATGGATCTTTTTAATTTTCCTTAATAATTTGCTAGACGTTTAGTTGTTATTGTTATCTAGAAGTTATGCAACAGGGATTTTCGAATTTATTGTATTATAACCATTCTATTCGGCGTGTTTTGCGATGTATTTTTTATTTCTAGATTCTAATGTCTATCGATTCTATTTCATGTGGAGATGAAAAGACTATAGTACCATTGACGGTATAAGTACTAGAAATTACAGATATTACCTAAACTTTTACCAAGCAATTAGTACGGAAAAACGATTTCTTACTGTGATCAAATTTTGTTATTGTGTAATGTATAGTTTATTAATTTGTAATCCGTCTCTCTCTCTTTATAGATTACAAGTGAGGGAGATGGCGGACACAGATACGGAGACGTTGCCCAACGGCACGGCGGCTCTTTCCACCGAGGAGGAAGATGAGAGACTGAAGCAGCGGCCGGCTGATATCGACGCCGTGAGTTCACATATTTTATTATTGATTGGTAAAAAAAAAAACAAAATTGGAATTTTAACTTCTGCGGTCTATGATTCGGGACTGGGACGCTATCCTTGTCTTAAAACACGTCAAGTTATACCACAAAAAAGGATCATTTTCCAACAATTAACATTTTTTTGCGCTAGTTTTTAGTAATCTACAACAGTATTACGAAGAACATTGATTATATTTTCATTGTAATGTTATTGATGATAAGTAGATTTATATAATCATCCTGGGGAATAAACTTAAAAAGCGCGTATGTTTTTGATTCCAGGACGTGCGTGAAATGGAGCGTCGCAAGCGCGTGGAGGCACTCATGTCCTCGAAATTGTTCCGCGAGGAGTTAGAGCGAGTGCTGGACCAGCAGATGCACGAAGGGAACGACGCGCCGTTGCTGCAGCGGATACGCGAGATGGTCGGCGGCAGGCTGCACACCGGCAGTCTGAGAGTAAGAATAATAATCATCTGTATATGCGTCAAGGGTCGTTGACCGTGTAAATGTGTCGTGGAAGTTGGCATAATGAAATGCGAAACAACTAACACAAATACTAATGATGAATCGAGTGAAGCGAGTCCCTTGTAATAGCAAACCAACAGCAAGCCATCCAACGCAAATATTATGGAAGAATGCTGCGAGTGACTCATACAACACAACAAGAATAATCCAGTCTCTTTCAATAGCAATTAAAACAACGAGCTGAACCAGTATGTTAAGAAAGGTTGGAGAGAGTGATTCTTTTACAACACAACACACGAATCCAGACAAGCGAGTCCGTTGAAATTGCGAGCCAATTCTAATATATATCAAGGGTCGATGGAGTCAGTATAACCCCTTACAACAGCGAGATGAACACACATACTAAACTAGTGAACAGAGTCCATAGCCGTACCGGCTGTCAAATTACTCGCAGCACCCTCACTTGCCTGGTCGCTATGAAAACATAACTGCCAACACTTTTATCGACTATTTACACTAGCCCGCCCAATAGCCGAGACAATCCAGTAGTAGAAATAGTTCTATTTCATTGGGCTAGCTAGAGGATTCTCTCCATTTGCAAGAGTCCAATATTGGTCTGGATTACTGGGACTCACAGCTACTTCTCTCGTGTGTGTGATGTGCACTGGACCTTACGAACTCGCAATCATGAGTGTGGATGTGGATACGTGTGATATCATATTGTTTTTGCTTAAAGATAGTTTTGTTTCAGGGTCCAGCTTGCGTTCTACCCATAAACGATATCCGTGGCTTAGAAGGTGTCGGATATGAGAAGGGTGAAAAGATCCTCCGTTGCAAGTTGGCTGCTGTCTACCGGCTAGTGGATTTGTTCGGATGGACACAGAGTGAGAACTATATTTTATTAATAGCTGATTTCCCGCCACTTTCTCTACGTAAATTTTAGCCTACGTCACCCGCGTATGAAGTAGCTTCCCGTAGAACAGTATTTCCGAAGTTTACCCCGTTGCGAGGTAGACAGAGAGAACTGCCTACATCTTTCACCTTTTGCACGCGTTCATAACTCTTAATACATGTTCGCCGGTTTTATGGCTTCTGACTTCACCATCCAATACTCTTTAGATTTGATCATCAAAGAAGTGTCTTACTTATCTTTCCGTGGCTTATACATCCCTCCATTTCCACTTTCACGTTGTTTATCAGTTTTGTCTTTCTTTCATCACGCATATCCGAAACAAATGTTAATATTTCACGCCAACTCTCTTTCTTTTAATTGCGATTGCTGTCAGCGAGTATTCTAAAATGCTCTTTTAAATTCTCTTTAAATTGTAAAAGTAAATATAAAGGTTTTTTTGTTATTTCCAAACATCAAACTTATCAACTTATTCATAATTACCAAATTTTTGCCGTCATTTATTTTGAAGGAATACAAAAATGTTTATGTTAATTCGTTTGTTGTGTTAATAACTAAGTGTATGTATACTTGTCATTATAGCTGGCGTTAGCGGTCTGATCACGGCTCGCCTGAACACTGCCATGGAGCAGGTGTTGACCACGCCGCGCGGTCTGCTGCCCCACGAGGTGACTGCTTCATCACTGGTGAAGGTGGACATGCAGGGACAAGTACAAGATCAGGGCACCACTAACTTCCCCGTCAATGTTGAAGGTCTGCCTTAATTTTGATATGCTGATAAATTAATACTAAATATTATTGTTTTTAGGTAAAGACGCATTATTGTAAAGTACATAATTTGTTTTTTTTTTCATCTCTCGCAACAAACAGTAATGCTATTTTGTAATGAAATCAGCCACGAACTCTACGATGAGCTCAGCGCTGTCATAGCAAAGAGATTCAAAGAAAGGAGTTACTTTGTGGTGTTTAAGTCGATTATTATGAAGTCAGAGAAAATACTTGACAAATGTGACGCAGACATACAATTATGACATCTAATATTTTGGTGTGGGGTTGAAAATCGTATAATTTACCAAATTACTATCAATTTGGAAAATTAGAACGGATGCTGCCTAGTATTGTAAAAAACTTGATACTTGGGTGACTCTCTAGTCATAGGATACGACGTCTTAGCGAATATTATGACAGTATCTCGTCTTATTTTACTACTTGGGCGTGGATTTTGGTGAATAAATGACTTGGAAACACTGTTGTCTGATGCCTATTCCAAATTCTTCATCATTTGTTTGTCGGTATTACAGTACATATATATATATATATATATATATATATATATGTATATGAGCACTAAAATGAAACGCTAGGCTAGTGTTATAACTGGGGGGTGAGCGTCCTGGCGACTCGCTCGCGGCTTCCCGGGCCTCATCCCAGGGGAGGGTACACCGTAGGGGTTTTTGTGGGTAGGCCTTCGGGAGCTCCACCGCGCAGCTAACCAGGGGGTGGGCTCACGTAGGAGAGTCCCACACAACCCCTGTCGCTTACCAGGCAGCAAGAATAGTGCCTAATGCATTTCCGCGACGTAAATAAAGAAAAAGGCTAGTGTTATAGCTAAAGGAGTAAGGCGGTCGCTCTGTTATGGTTGGTTTACACAGATTGAGTTGATTAGTAGTTAACTAAATTTTAAGCGATTAAGTACTTGTAAACATACGGAGTTGCTCGGTGGCGTAGTGGATAAGCGTCGCGGCCCGCGATCGTTGTTGTTAAGCAACGTTCGCAAGGATTCGCCACGGGATGGGTGACCAAAAAATTATCTTGAGCTACTTCGTGCGTCGAAAGGCACGTTAAGCCGTTGGTCCCGGCTGCATTTTCAATCGTTAATACCCTCCAATCTGCATTGGGCTAGCGTGGAGGTTCATCGCCTATTCTCCTAAACCATCCACAAAGAAGTCCTGAGCCTCTACAGTGGGCCTGATGATGAAACACATATTAACAACTTAAAATTAAGTTAATCATTTAGTTAACTTCTTATCAATTTGATTGAAACCAGTCATAGTCTAAGATCCGAACCTAAATCGACCTTCACCGGGTTGATAATGGAATAAAACTTATTGTATTGTATAATTAATTTAGTATATTAGAAAATATATTAACACGTTAAACGCCATGTAGGTCACCGGTGACCGCACCCTACCTTAATCTAGGCGCCGTGTTGGCCACCGGTGACCTCAGAGCAGACCTGTTTTCAAACAGAGTTTAGGAGCCGTAGGTCGCGTTTACGATGGATTTGACGCAGTGAGGTGACCGGTATGGCGCTGTAGATTATTTTGCCTAAGTGGTTTTCGCCTAACATGGTTATGTTAGTCAAAAATATTTTTTATGCGTAATCACTACATAGTATAAAGTAAAGTCGCTTTTCGCGTCTGTCACTATGTATGTATATATGCTTATATCTTTAAAACTACTCAACGGATTTTGATGCGGTTTTTTTTAATGGATAGAGTGATTCAAGAGGAAGGTTTATATTGCAAACTTTAGGACGTGCGAAGCCGGGGCGAGTCGCTAGTATGTATGAAATAAATTAAATGTGTTTATTCTGATACTACTGCGTTACTTGAAATAAAAGTTATAATAAAGAGATATAATAACACTTTTGACATCAATAAAAAATTACTTTATTATGAAAATCAGTTATTTATTTTCCCAAAAATAGGCGCAGGTGTCCGGAGAACGTGACCTCATGGCGCCGTAATAACAACATTGACAATTTTTACATTACAGCGCCACTACGGCCACCCGTGACCTCACCATGTTTTTCAGGAATATCTCTGAAAGTAGGTCTCAGATCCAAACCTAACCAAGACATAAATACCAATCTTGAGATACTGTATCTTAGAACAGCAAAAAAAAATAATGTAAAAATCGTATTTTGGCCTTGGCGTTTAACGTGTTAAAAATGGGTTGCCTAAAAAATCCTGGACAGAATATTTTTAATTATTTTTTAAAAAATATTTTTTTATTAAATGTTGCAACATCAAGATAATAAGAAAAATTTAATTCTGACTTAAAGTATAAAACATATAGAATGTGCAGACGTTGGGTTGTCTATTATTTACCTGGATGAACTACTGGGTTGTCAGGTATAAACAGGTATATCGATGCCAGTTAATTTCACTTGATTTGATAATAAAAAAAAATTATATCAACATAAGCGCTGTTTCATTACGAACACATTGATATAGGGTTGTCTGCAAAAAATTCGGTCTTAATACGGGTTTGCGAATTTTAAAAATTAAAATTTTAACGCGTGGGAAAGTGAGTGACAGATATGCCTCGTAAAATCTGTCATATTAATGACATAATTCTATAGGTATTTATTCACAATTCATACATAAAGCCAAAATAAACAATAAACTATTAGTTAGGTACTCACTGTCTCTTAATAAGATTCCTTTCATTTTGGTTTTGAGGGAATAATATATTTTCTTATAATACCTATCTGGTGAATTGAGGACAGTCCTAACCTCCTAACACCGTGAAACTGTTTGTTGGGCCGTAGGTCCATCCATGTTTTGAGATACGAATCATTGGTATCTACCTCGGGCATAAAAATTCAACGCTGTAAGAATCATAAAAATATGAAATGCATAATGGTAGGCATGCAATTTTTTTTTATCAAGAACTACTTACGATAAAATATCTTCCAACTTTAATTGTGGACTCGATGGCATGAGATCTTGCCTGTGGTCGCAGTAAATGTATAATCTCCTGGCATAGTTCTTGAAATAATTCACAACTGAGTCTGTAATTACTTACAAACGTTTTCGAAGCCGCCGCCGATTTCTTATACGGTCTAATCGTTCTTTACTGAGAGCTGACTCGATTAATAGTAATATAGACCCCATTTCGAAAATAAAAAATTGCTAACGAAAATGAAAAGGTAACATTTTTTACTTCGTCAATTTGAGGTAAGAATTCCGAACAATTAGATGTCAAACTCAAATGTTCGTTTCGTCATTTCGTGAAATAGAGTAGGTTTAGAAAATAAATATTGCAAACATTTTCGTTCGTTGAATATTCGGAACGAACGTAATTGTGATAGAAAACGTCCGAAATTTCGAACGATATTTCGTTTTTCGGTGAATTAGAGAAGGCTTCCTGATGCGACTGCAATGTTGGGTCCTTTACTATTACACGGTATATTACACGGTCCTCGGACCTCTCTGTCACTCACTTTCCCACGCGTTAAAATTTTAATTTTTAAAATTCGCAAACCCGTAATAGGACCGAATTTTTTGCAGACAACCCTATATCAATGTGTTCGTAATGAAACAGCGCTTATGTTGATATAAACTTTTTTTTATTATCAAATCAAGTGAAATTAACTGGCATCGATATACCTGTTTATACCTGACAACCCAGTAATTCGTCCTGGTAAATAATAGACAACCCAACGTCTGCACATTCTATATGTTTTATACTTTAAGTCAGAATTAAATTTTTCTTATTATCTTGATGTTGCAACATTTAATAATTTTTTTTTTTTAAATATTTAAAAATATTCTGTCCAGGATTTTTTTAGGCAACCCATTTTTAATATATTTTCTAATATACTAAATTAATTATACAATAAGTTTTATTCCATTATCAACCCGGTGAAGGTCGATTTAGGTTCGGATCTTCTACTATCATTAGACGTGGATGCGATTGCGTGATTTTTATGTTATCGCTTAGGTTTCTCCCTACACGCGGCGGTCCACTGCGCCCGGCCCGACATCCGGTGCGTGGTCCACCTGCGTTCCCCTGGCGCCCTCGCGGTGTCCAGCTGCGTGGGCGGTCTGCTGCAGCTGTGCCACGAGGCGGCGCTGCTCGGACAGATAGCTTATCATCGCGCGCCACCAGGTCAGTACCACACTACACTAATCATGATGTACAATACAATTTTACTTTTTTTTACGTCTTTTTGACTTTTTGATAGTTTAAATCAGAGGTTCCCAAACAATTTTTTCTTGTATACCATCTTAAAAAATTTACTGGTTTCGGTGGACTGAATGCTGCTACATTTTTACCATATTCCCAAAATTCGTCCAAAAAATGTTAGAAGATCTAACGATGGAAATTGGCGTCGCAGGTGAGTTTCACGCCAACGTAGACCCCCGTTGAATCCCACGTGGACCCTTAGGGAATTACTGGTTTAAATGCTTAATGAAAACTCATTTTTCATAAAGAATATTTTCGTGAATGTAAGAAATCAATAAGATAATGGGTTTTGAACGAGTTATAAAACAAATAATTGATTGGCTGGTTTCTGTTTTAAAATAAAAAGGTGATGTATTTATATTTGTAGTAGCGTATATGGGTCATTGTCAAATATTGGGCAGGTAAACTAGTCCCTTGACATATTTTTTATATGAAAAAATCATATGGAATACATAATTAACCATATTACATTTAATAATAAAATAAATACCTAGTTTTGGTGTTGTTGCTTATTTTTAACGTAACATAGTGGTAATTTCCTCTAACAGATGGTTTTTCCCTTATAGATTTTACTTGTCCCAAGTAGCACTCTGTTACAGTAAGGATGAAAAATCTTCAATTTCTGATATATCATAAATTAGGTTAGGGGAAATTTTGGTTTTGTGTACATATCACTATGACGTCATGAATACGACACACAGCGTTGTTCGTTTGATTCTTATATATTGAATCTGATTTCAATATAAAAATTAAATTGAATAAATTCATTTGTCAAAAAATTGCTAAAATAAATAAAGAATAACTTATGTGTGTACAGATTGTGTGATACGCAAATATAAACAAACGTAAGGGAGGTCAGATCGTTTTCAGCATTGGATTTATTTGATGACTTATATTCTGATATATGAGGATTTCAGTTGCATCGATAATTCTACCTATGTTGATAGGATTCAGATCTACATACCTCATATTGAACAGTGAGCATTCTTTACAGTCACTATCACAATTGGAAACCACGTAGGCTTCTAAGGAAAAAACCGGGAATGCCCCCTTTTCCCGCAAATTGACAAGTGTAATTTTTATAACGACATACACCAGCACGATGATTTTGTAAACCGCACACTGAGCACCGTTTAATCGGAATAACCGCTTGCTGAGCGCCGCCAGCGCCCTTCCTGCTTTCGGCTCCTCCTTTACCATGTTAGACCACGACGCTGTTGTTTGTTCGGTTAAACTGCCTCGCGCCTGTTGCTCACACGCCGCTTGCGCCGCTATTTCGACAGCCGCTGGCAATATTAATTTTTTTTTGCCTCGCTCCGGTCCCGCGTTTAATCCCAATATAAATCTATCACGTAGGACTATATCTAATTCTTTGCCGAAGTCACACAACACGGCCGATCCTCGTAAGCGCACTACCCACTCTTCGATGCTTTCATAATTGAATCTCGATGCCGTGTTAAATTTCGCCCTGTCTGCAAACGTTGATCTTTTTGGTTCGTTAAAGGAAACTACTTCAAGCTCTTTCGGGTGAGCCAATTTTTTGCTAGGCGGTAGGAATCGTCCGACAAGTGTGTTAAAAGCAGCGCACACTTGTTATTGTCTTCGATTTTATTCAATTTTGTAAATTGAGTCAATCTTTCGTAAAAAAAATTGCCATTCTTGGCTTTTGTAATTGAATAAAATGTAGGTAGATGGTTACATACATTACACGCTTCCATATGATAAAATTTTAGAATTGTGGATGTATCCAGTATTGTTTGAAGGTAGCTATGTTCTTAATTATAAAAATGTATAATGTTTAATGCTTAATTTTAAATTATAATGTGTGCAAAGATAATAGATAGGTTTTAGAATTATACTGTTGTTTACATTAGAAACCTCACACCTCCTTAACTAGGGCATCGGACAACTTTATAAATACTGTTTTAGATGAGTTAGTATGTGTGCTTATTCCCATAAAAAATATTATTTGATATAAATTTGACCTTAATTATGTACCCAAAATAATCTTTAAAATTTAAATAAACCGTGTAAACGGCGACTCTGGAGACGGGACGTCGTTTGTGGGGGTAAACAAAAGGATTTTTCAGTGAAAAAAAAAACGAATTATAATATTCACCACGTGAAGTCAAACTCATAACATAACTAAATATTACTGTAGACTGATCCTTGTAACTTGCTTAAAATCAAATAAATCCTTAAAATCATTTTGCACTTTGAATGTTTCCCGAGCTTTTCCTAGATAATTTTACTATCAATTTAGCCACAAATGACGTCATGCACTCTGATTGGTATTTAGTTTTGACATGAGACACAGACTACACATATTCAAAATTATATTTTTGTTGATTGAATTAAAAAAATAAATAATTATTATTTAGCAAAAAATATTCATTGAATAATCTTTAAACTTTATGAGCTTTTAAGCACACACAATTTATTCCTGGATAGTCAGTGGTTAGAGCAGTCGCCCGGATTACGAAAGGACAATTACAATCTCAGAGTGCCAGGAACAAAGCATTTTTCATTAAGAAGAAATATATCATTAAATCATATATCAGAATCCATATGTCACCAAATAAATCTAATGCTAAAAACGATCTGACCTCCCTTACGTTTGTTTATATTTGCGTATCAGACAATCTGTTCACACATAAGTTAGTCTTTGTTTGTTTTAGCATTTTGTTGACAAATGAGTATTCAAATCTGATTCAATATTTAAAAATCAAACGAACTTACCTCGGAAATTTCATATCTAAACATACGAATGTCTTGACTTGATTAGAGATGACATGCTGCGGTACAAGACATGTTGCTGTTCTCACCACAGTTTAATAGTTATATTAATAATTTTTATTTTAGTGAAGAAACTTTAGTGACTACCCAATATCCACGCCCCCGCGCAGGCCTTTCTTCTATCATTACTTGTTTAGGTGTCGTCCAAACCACACGTATTTTTCCTTTTCAATAACTTGTGATTAAAAATGTTTAAGAGTATAAATAAAAGAAAGTTGAATGTTGATAACAATAAAATATAAATGTGTTTAAAAAGGTTAAAAATAGAGAAATATGGAATCAAATGCCCGTTTTCAGAGGAAGAACAATGTCAAAGATTATAGTTAGAAAGGAACGACGATGTACGAGGTAAAAAACAAAGTGAGTTTAAAAAAATATATTTTACTCTGAAATATTTCTTTAATGCAAGAAATATTTAATTAAACTAATTAAATAAAAAGTTAAATATATCCAGAAAATATGCCGAACACATATACAGGAATAATTTAAAACCACTGCGAAGATTTTGTGAAAATAAACTTTAAGTAATTTAAACAAACACGTATTTTTTATTTTGATATGTTCTAATACTAAAAAATAAAGTTATCGCTTATCAAAGATCAAGATTTTAAAACTTAATTTACGGACACCGCGCGCCGTGCGTCAGCTGAGCGCTCGCTCGACGCCGGCCGTAGGCATGTACTCGTAGGTACCTATCTACACGGGTCACTGGCCGCTCATTTTGTTAGATTCGAACTAGATTTTATGCCATGATCTGAGGTGATTTCTAAGAGTAATTCCAATTTTCCCTTCATACTTTTATGGTTAAGGCCATCACAATGCAAAAAAATAAAAGAGAAACAAATTCGTTACCTAGAAAAAAATATTAACGTTATGCCGATGTAACATAGGTACTTCTGCGTTAAGGCGTATTTAAAAAAATTAGAATCAACTACGTATTTACAATAATGTTGGATCAAAACAAATACCTAACTAATTACTTACCATGTATTTTAACATTTGTTCAAAATGAAGTCCACGTCTGTCCAGACATAAACGTGCACATTTCATTAAATTGTCATTTAATTTGTTTAAAACACTAGTGTCACTTTTCACTTCACTGAAAGCGTTATTATTTTTTATTGTTAGGTCTTCTAGACTTTGTGCCTCCTCAACATCTCGGCGTTTGACTTCTTCCCATAAGAAAGAGTCCCTCACGTGTGAACAATGCCTCATCCGTCCACAAGATGTTTGCATCGCGGTGATGTAGAAGCCACTCACATAAGGCTCGACGTGGTACTGGGTCTAGGTCATGGAACTGTTGAACCGACTGAAAGTGGTACGGATGGAGTCCGGCTGTTTTTAGCAGCTTCAATACCGCAGGCTGGCTCACACTAAAGAGACATGCCGCATCGTGGGTACTGACTCTGGGACTTCGTCTGTTAAAATGGCTCGAAGCATTAGGGACCGCGGGGTTACGGATCCCAAAGGCCCGCATACGAGATATGCTCTTCGTCGCATACTTTCTCCGAATTGCGCTTATGTAGGTTTTCACCACTTAGAAGATAAACTCGTACCATTTCGTAAAACTCACGACGGCGGGCGGGTCGCGTGCGCGGGAACGCGAGGGCACGTCACATCGGCGCGTGCGTATGAGTCTCACTGCCGAGCGCGACGCTCGGTCCCAGCGGGGCGGTGGGGGCTGTTACGGGGGGCTACCGGGCGCGGCGGGGATGCACGGTGGTATACGCAAGAGAAGACGTTTTCATTGAAGTTTTATTTTAAAAAATGTGTCCATATTCTACCGTTTCGATAGGGATAAAAATATTTAAAAAAATTTTTTTAACTAATTATGTAAAAGTGTTCTATTACTGATACTGAACCACCAAAAAAAATTTTTGCACTGGAAAAAAAATATTCCTGTATATCTCGAATTTTGTGTATGGATGTCTACAATTTAAATTAAACTATATCTCGACGTAAATCGTGAATGCATAGACAACGAGGTCATCGAGTATGTACTTTTATCGAGTTTATGAGGTAGGTATCTACTTCATAAATTTTGTAATAGATAGACAGATAGATCATCTATAGCATCATGTGGTAACAAAAGGACTTTAACTTATCCCTTGTAACCTAAACATGAGCCTCGTAGAGGTATTCCAAATATACATTAATCAAAATTTAAATTAGTACATACATTAACACAAATGTAAAGTACAATTTTCAATAAAAGATAGTTCATCTTTAAACATACAAGAATTATTCAACTTCAATCTTATTACAAAATATCGTTTTAAAAATTCTATGGGCAACCTCTCCAAATACGTAACAATAGAAAATATTACTATTAATATCACGATCACGATATTAATATAATAAGATTAGCACTATAATCGAGTTGAAAAAAAAAACAAATCAGTAGAAGCTACGAAATAAACACCTTGACTTCAATTTATGGCGGGAAAACTAATTCGTTTTGACAAGCTATAAAGGAAAGTGAGTGATCGTTGTCAACGCATGGTCTTTGTTTATTATTACCAAAGCGCATATTAGACACCCACATTATTTCTTAAAACGGCGTAAACTTTATTGTGGTTGCGCAATGTCAAAGTCAAAATAATCTTTATTCAAATAGACATCTTAGAAGTACTTTTGTATCGTCCAACATTTTTCCCTACCAGTCGTTCGGGACGTCTTTTGGCTGATAAGAAGAACTAGCAAGAAACTCACCAGCTTTAATAGGAGTTATGACATTCACAAAAACCATGTCATTCCCAGATCAATACATTATAAATAGAGAGAGAAAAAAAAACTGGTCTTATAATGATAACATAATTATTTAATTATAATGGAAAGAAGTTAATTTTTGAGATATAATGAGTTTAGAAGAAATCACCTATCCAGTTGCTGGACCCTCTTAAGTCCAAGCATTCTTATCTTTTATACAATCGGATACCTTATAATAAGCTTTTTTAATAAGTATTTTTTAATAGTAGATTTAAACTGCATTATATCTAATTGTTGTATTTTGCTTGGGACCTTATTGTAGATGCGCACACAAAGATCCCTGAATGACTTATTAAAATAGCCACAACGCTTGCTGCAACGTGACTATAGTGAAACTCAGGCAATTGTCTTGCTTTTTTTTGTTGTCAATGTTGTGCGCAGAGAATCGATCTAAATTTTTAATACATCATGACTTCTTTACTTTAACTTTTGGAAATATGGTCTAAAACACGTTTATAATGTTAAACTATGATAATTAAATTAGAGGTGACCTTCATTTGGCGTAATTGTAAAAATACATAAGCTAATAAAATAGTTTCGTCATCTTCTATATTGACTTAAACTAAGTGGACAGGTTATGATCGCTCACTGTTCGTAAAATAAAATCAGTATGTTTGATTAAGTTCGACGTAAAACATCACAACATGTTTTATATTGAGCTGATGCCTTTAGTAACAATAGTAGTTGTTGTTGGAGCAGTTTTAATATCTTTATGGACTAAAAGAAAACTCAGTCATAGAGTGTGTTTGTCAAAACGACGTTTGAATGGGAAGACGTGTATAGTAACAGGAGGAACATCAGGCATCGGTCTGGAGGCTGCTAAAGATTTGGCTAGACGTGGAGCCAGGGTTATCATAGCTTGTCCATTCCCTGAAGAAGGGAAAAATGCTGAACATACTATTATAGAAGAAACTGGTAATAAGAACATTGTATTTAAGTGTTTGAATCTAGCTTCTTTGGAATCAACAAGGGAATTCGCTAAAAATATTCTAGAAACTGAAAATAGATTGGATATTCTCATAAACAATGCTGGTGTTGGTTCAATAAATAAATTGACAAAAGATGGAATGCTGTACACCATGCAGATCAACTACTATGGACATTTCTTGCTGACCAATCTACTGTTGCCTCTCTTAAAGAAAACTGGGACTGCTGAGGAGAAGAGTAGGATAGTAAACGTGGTGTCTATATTACATCACACTGGGCATTATAATTTTGGAGATATGAACATGCCTACTATCCGATCTTATGTACAAAGTTATAGTAATAGTAAATTCTGTCTTATACTGTTCACACGAGAATTGACAAGAAGATTGATTGGCAGTAATGTAATCGTTAATTCGATAGATCCAGGAACAGTTGGTAGTACAATTTATAGGAGGAACTTTGGGATACTGGGAGGATGGTTGATTAAACAATGGCTCTCATTTTTCTGGAAAACTCCATGGCATGGAGCGCAGACTATCGTATATGCGGCGGTCGACGAATCTGTCGCTGACATCAGCGGGGAGTTGTTCAAGGACTGTAAGCTGATCAAAGCAAAAGCTTCGACTTATAATGAGGAAACAGCTAAGACGCTTTGGGAAGAATCACAGAATCTAGTCCTGTTTGATACATGATTGTAATACGGTGTAAAAAATACAGGCGAATCGGTATCGATATAAAATTCGGTGATTAAAAACTGAATTTATTTATCTTTAATTACATAAACTAAGTATATAATAGTATCTGAAATAATTGAGTAATAAACAAAATAATGTAGTCTTCTATGTCCATGATAAGATTTATTTGGTTACCATATTTCTGATTCTAAATAAAAGTGCATCATCTCATCTAACGTCTGTGGGAAATTAACTTTTCATTTCTGTTCATGTAGATTTTTTTATCATCTTTAATGAACACAAAACACATAAAACTAGGTTTTGTTTTATTTTGAGCTTTGTCTGGATATTTGGTTCTCCCGTGGAATTAATGGAACCCCCATTGACAAAATGTGTTTGTGAACTGTTTATTTAAAGAAAAGAAAAGGCATAATCCTTTCGTTATACAATCGACATGTATTTTTACCTCAATACAAGTAAATACATAGGTAAATAAATATTATATACTATTAAATAAATTATTCATATCACAGTTTAAGTAGCTAAGTCTTATGAAAATATGTGAAATGGCCGAGATACCACAATTCCTAGAGTCAATAAAAAATATACTCACTATAGTGTACCGGTCGGGAATCAATTCGAGGCCTCTGATCCAAAAATTATGTACGTCAGAAATCTCAGAAAGCACTCGCGCGGTTAGCGAACGTCACCGTTTCAAGTACATCCTGGTGCCTGACGCAGTTATTTCAAGATTTTTTTATCACTGCTGGTTAGACTATACATTGTGTACTTTGTACCGATCGTTCTTCGTATAGAAATTTCTGACTTGCAAAGATCTGTTCACTGATGGTGTGTAACGTGAAGTTTGTGCGGAGTAATCCCGCCAATTATGAGTCGATTTTCAAAATTCTTTTTTATTCGAAAGCTTAATGGGCCGAGGTGGTCCAATTTTAATTTATCGAAATTAAATCAGTAGTTTTTTTTATAACTAAAAAATAGGTGCCATTCCTCAGATATCACCTAAATATCTTGATGTCATGTTTATATCAGAGAAAATGCGAAATACAAGATTTCTATGTTCAAAACGAGTATTAAATTAATAACATTTTTGATCATAGATTATACTTTTTATATCTTTATGTAAATATACTCTTTGTGAATTTTGTATTAAGTTTTGAACTCAGATAAAAATCTTTGTTTTTCGAAGTTCTATAGAAAAGAGTTAAAGAATAATAGGCAATTCTGTAGTCAGTAAAGTTGTCTTATATACTTTACTCTTTGGTTGTCTTACGCTCTTCGATCCACACATAGAAAATAGTGTTCATCGAATGGATCGACAATACAACTAAATCCCAGATGCCCGGTCAGAGGCCAAAAATGGCCGAAGACATAATGCTTCACTTCAAAGTACGATCTTATTTTGTTTTAGTTCGTTTGCGACGTATAAAAACTGCAAATATAACTGTCGGCATAAAAATGTATCTTTTGGAATATCATATTTTCGGGTTGCAAATGTGATTTTACTATGTCTATAATTAATAGTCAAAGTATTGTCAGCCAGCCAACCCACGCGCCAAAATGGCAAACACTCACAAATATTTGACCAGAACATACATGGAGTAGTGTGCTATTACCTTTTCTTTTCACCAAAAATTTGAAATCTAACTATAAAAGCCATCAAAGTCGTGTGCATGAATTTGAAGGTTTGTATCGGTCTCGGTGTTTTATATGTATTTTGAGTATCTATTAACAACAAAAGATGTGTTCCCTGAAAGTGCGAATTAAATTTAATGAAAAATGCTTAAAAAAATCCACTTTGTCCGTGGCACTCTGAGATGGGTGTCGAACCCACGACCTTTCGCAATCCGAGCGACTGCTCAGACCACAGCTACACAGGCCCTACGAGGACTGTCGAATTTTTCAAGCATTTGCTACTTTTTCGCTACTACAGAGCGTATTTTCATCAATGTTAAGGCAATTCACCCAAACAGCCGAAAAAAATAATTTAAAAAATATTTAAACTTTCAATAAAGAAGAAAATTTGTTCTAATTTTTTCAGTATAACGTTGTGAATGTAAAATTAATCTAATATCATAAAACAGAATGTTAATAGTTTTTAATAGATATGAAGGTTGGAGTATATCATCGATTAAGGATCCAGTAATTGGCCGGATTCAACCCAGATCACACATTGCAAAACCTAAAGTTACAATTAGTTCTTTCTAAACATTAAAATTATAGGGAGTAATTGCTTTCTTTTCGGAGTTTGTTTCGCCAGTTCTTCTCATACAAGACTTTCAAATTTTTAACTGGTTGGTAGTTTATGGTAGTCAAGGGCAAATAAACAAACAAGAAATTAAATATTTCAAATATAATATTAATAGTACTTTAATTAATACAAACGTTTCCATATGATAAATTTTTTGAATTGTGGATGCATCCAATAAGTATTGTTTGAAGGTAGCTATGTTCTTAATTATAAAAATGTATAATGTTTAATGCTTAATTTTAAATTATAATGTGTGCAAAGATAATATATAGGTTTTAGAATTATACTGTTGTTTACATTAGAAACCTCACACCTCCTTAAATAGGGCATCGGACTACTTTATAAATACTGTTTTAAATGACTTAGTATGTGTGCTTATTCCCACAAAAAAATATTATTTGTTTAAATTTAACCTTTTGTACCCAAAAGAAGCTTTAAAATTTAAATAAACCGCTTAAACGGCGACTCTGGAGACAGAACGTAGTTTGTAGGGGTAAACAAAAGGGTTTTTCAGAGTAAAAAAGGAATTATAATATTCACCACGTGAAGTCAAATTCATAACTAAATATTACTGTAGACTGATCCTTGTAACTTGCTTAAAATCAAATAAACCCTCAAAATCATTTTGCACTTTGAATGTATCCCGCGCTTTTCCTAGATAATTTTACTATCAATTTACCCACAAATGAATTCATGCACTCTGATTGGTATTTCGGTTGACATGAGACACAGACTACATATTGGAAAATTATAATTTTGTTGATTGATTAAAAAATAGAAATAATTATTATTTAGCAAAAATATTTAAACTTTATGAGCGTTTAACCCATTAACGCCCAAATAAAATCCTACAAAAATTTTAGTGAACCAGTTCTTAATATTGTTTTCAAATCATCTATTATTTGATATTACAAAGAAAAAATAATAAAAAAATAATTATAAGATGTACTTTTAGAGGTGTACTAAGTTTAGTACAATGGGCGCATATGGGGATACCGAAAAAAGTATATCCTATCGAAACACGATATTATTTGTCACTTTTCCAACGCTCTTTTGATTCTGTTGGAACATAGGACACAGTCATTAGTATATTAGTATTTTTTAAGAATAATGAACATTGTTTTCCCTAACTTGTTCTTGAATGATGGATGGTTGTATTGCCTTATGTTACTCAAATATGTGCGTGTTTTATGTCTCGCAATACCAGCTGATCTGTATAATATTCAGGATTGACATTACTATGTAATATCCCATGAACTAGAAATTTTCATATCATATAACAATTCGACACAACTTTTTGTAAGATCTCAATAAAGTGGAACACTTCTTGTGTATGTTTTATCCGTAGGGGAACTAGCCAATGTGTTAAATGTAAAACGCAGACTACTTTTTGTTTTCAAATTTCTGTTTCTGGTCTTGCATTCTGAAACCAGTGGCACACCAATATTATTATCGAAATTTCAATATGACCTTTATCTAGATAATTTATGATATCCGGTAATATACGATGGACTTGAAATTTTCAAATATTTTTTTGTATAAACCTTATCATGACAGCAGTTTTGTACATCGTATACAGTATTTTTTTGGACGCAATAAGTTCTAGCACTACATCATCGAAAAGTTCTAAAACTTTGCAAGTGACAAACGTTTTATTATATCTGAGACTTATGTTTCTGTAACAGATATTAGATCTGCGTTAACCAAGAAACTTAGTAAATAGTCATACATTTTGGCAAAAATCCTCCTCAGCTTTAGTTCCACTTCGTCTTGTTTTGGCTGTAAATAAGAAAACTGGAAAACTGATTATGATGACCACTCTATTATTATATGATATGAAAATTTCTAGTTCATGGGATATTACATAGTAATGTCAATCCTGAATATTATACAGATCAGCTGGTATTGCGAGACATAAAACACGCACATATTTGAGTAACATAAGGCAATAAATTCTGAAAAGTAGATATACTGTGAATTACAACATCTATGCATATGACCAGTCACATTTTTCATCTGTAACAACATCTGGATTGGGTAGCAGCATAATCATTACTATCATTATCATTACTATCTCAACTGATGGTGTTATTCATAGTAAAACTACTTTTTTTTTCGTAAAAGTACGTCGAATAGCCATTTTATAATTTCTAGATACCTAGTTTCCTCTTATCGTCTGATAACGATGCCACTTAAAGGTTCGTTATTGAGATATTATGAGTAATATAACGACAAAAAAACTTGAAAACACGATTATAAACTGTTGCACTGTACTGTCTCACGTTACATGTCAAGTGCCCATTGTACTAAACTTAGTACAGCAGCACTTAACATGTTATAGCTTGTAACACTTTTTAAAAATTTTGTTTTTCTACGTGTTTTACAAACAAATAGTATATTATTGAGTTAAAACTAAATCTTTTTAATAAATTTCAATGGTCATTTTTTTACAAAATGAGAAATAAATACTCACCGACATATATAAAAAAATCACTGGCACAAAATGCTCACTACTGTCAGATTATTAAGTGATTGAATCATGATTTTGCTATATACTTACTGCGAGACTTTCGATTGAAAGGTTGAAGGGGTTACCAAAATGAAAAAAGTAATTTAATAACTTTAATCTCAACTTAAATTACTGTACTTCTTATAGTACGGCGGGCGTTAATGGGTTAAGCACAAACAGTTTAATTTTTTAGCTAATCGATGTCCGATCCTTTATATATAAATTGACAACGCCGCTCCATACTTACCCAGTTCCGAAGCTCAGTTGTCGCCTAGAGTATTATCACAGAATATACTAAGTGTATGGTGCCGTATTCGAGTATTATCAAAGCTTGCACCCGAATATCGTATTACTTCAGCTGTCCTCAGGTTTCTCTATTTTTATTGAACTATCGTTCACCGACTTCTCATGGTTACGTCGCGCAAATAAATAAAAATTCAAGTTTTTCGTTTTACATATAATTTAGTTGTACCTATATAAAGTACCAAAAGTATCACTAAAAATAATAAAATAAAAACACATTTCAAAAAATAGAAACGCTTTTAAATAAGTATTATTTATCAATTTATTTTTTAATTTGAAGTTGGTTTTAGTTTTTTGAAAAATGATTTTATTTATTATATTTGATTAATTTATTTAGAGAACTTACTAGGGTAAAAGTGATTTTTTAAGAATTTTTCATTAAGAATAATTTTTATTTATTTTAATATTTTTGTTGCAGGCATTTTGGATAACGAAGAGCGTGATAAGCTGGTTCGCGCTCTCGGCCCGTCAGCCAAAGTGCTGATGTTGAGTTGCGGCGGTGCCCTCTGCTGCGGGGCGACCCTCGAAGAGGCATTCTTCCAAGCGAGACATCTCAACACTGCGTGCGACGTGCAACTGCGATTGGCAACGATACCTAGTGATCAATTGCTGACTATAGACGAACAGACCAGGCGGCAGGTTAGTAAACAAATTGGACTCGGCGGGCTCCTTGCCGCATTCCGGGTCCTTTGACCACCAGAGGGACTCGCAGCAGGTTTTATCAGGTAGGTCGGCCTCGCTTACGCCTGCCTTTTCAGGATGGGTGCGGGGTCGGAGAGCTTTGGTTTAAGGCTTAAGGTTGCATTTACCTTGTGTTAAAAAAAAAGGTTAGTGCACAAAGCATGGATGGATAGTGGTGAGAATGTCCGCAATACACAGCTTTATTTATATTAACGTAAAATCAATTTAATAGGGCATGATCACACCCACCAATGTCGATGATAGCTGAACGTAAGATAACGATTAATAATAAGTTTTGTTTAAATAAACATAAACACAGCATACTAACTTTCCGTCTCAGTATGTACATTTAATTTTCAATGTTAAAAAACGATTATAGGTATATAAATAAGGCGTTAGGCAGGATATAATTTTTTTAATAGACAGATATTTGTTAATGATGTTTCAAAATTTAAACACGCGTATGCGCACACATGCTTACAAAGAACTATTTAATTTTAATATTCTTAACAGCAATTTTATAAATCTTACCAAAAGCATCAGTCGTTATTTCATTTAGGTTTATTTTGTGACCCATTAGATGATTGTTTGGATTTAAAAAATGTCCTAGGTACCACTGTGCAGTGAGTATCTACTATTAGAATGTTTTATCATAAACACAAATCTGGGCATATCGTTGCCTTCCTGACACTATTGACAAAATATTTCGTGTATCTAATTTAATACTATAATATGGTCTGGTATGGAGTAATCGAACTTTTCCTGTATTTGAACTAAAAAATAAATATTACTGGCTTAGTTAGGTTTACATTGTGTCTAGGTAGTATAGAACGTTTTTGCATAGACACTTATGAGAATCTTGTTAAATTAAATATTAATATATATTTTCTTGTTTACGACAGTATGATGATGAATTAGGCTATTTTTAGACGCGGAATTTATACATCGGACGCAATTGATACGATCTAACATGATGCTGCACTGGATCAAATCGCGTGTTATTTGTATGTAGCCTGTTGGAGGAGTGTATATTCTAGTGAATATGCACCCCGATCTCGATGATTTGTCATACTACTTACACGGTAAGCCGGAAAACTAAAATTGATCTTTAGAGCAGTTCTCCGAAGAACAAATTTGAACATGCCGTCGACCTTGATGAGAGGCCGACTGAGCCTGGGCTCTCCTGCTGCGGTGGTTAAAGAACCCCTACCTACAGCAGGCCTATCGTGCAAAACACGTATTTGCTTGCCAGCGGCGTTTAAAGATTTGTTTTTGGTCGTTTTTAGATATACGAGTCGTCTCGTAAACCACCAGCGGACGCGACTAAATGGCGTGTCGGTGGCGAGGAGTTCGAAGCACTCATGCGCATGTTGGACAACGCTGGTTTCCGCACCGGATACATATACAGACATCCACTTATTAAGGTAAGGAATAAATAATATGACTTTAGACGTTGAAAATTCTCTTTTGGCTGCTTCAGTTGTGCTCTTTACTAGGAATGTCAATTCAGTTTGTCCTATATTCGTGCAACAATGAATATTATTACTAAACTAACTTTCTACCAGCGGCTTCGCCCGTGTGTTCCTGTTTTATACATTTTAATCTTCCTCTTGAATCATTCTGTAGTGAAAACTGCATTATAATCTGTTGGGTATTTTAAAAGATTTCGACTCTCAGGCAGTGTGAAGCGACTGTTTCATACTATATATAGATAAATATATATTATTATGAAACATGAAGTTATAAATATTTGTTTTAAATTAGAACGATGTCCCGAAACCGAAGAATGACGTTGAGGTGCCGCCGGCTGTGTCATCTCTCGGATATCTGCTGGAGGAGGAAGAACTATACAAGCAAGGGTAAGCGCACACCAATCATTCTAGGATCCCATTTTTTCATTGGTTGTACTGTAAACATGTATTAACGGTCTATAACGCATTAGAATAACTTAATGCGTTATTGACCGTTGATCTTTAGAGCAAGTTATTATAACTATGTCATTTATTGATATTAAAAATTACTACGTTGAAATTAACGTTACAAATAAAGCGCCGTTTGATATTTGGTTTGATAGTTTGTAATATGATATGAACTTAATAAAAAGTGTTTCTGCTACATAATACATGATAGAGTTGACGAATTACGTCTCGTTTACTTCGATACGTTATGAATATCACCTTCTTACTTAAATAGCGCTGTGAATAAAAGCGTTCTAGAAAAGTACGGGCTTGTAAATAATTCAGCTGTGTCATTCTCCATTCTCAACCTTATTCTCCTGTATTAAGGACTATGTTACTGGTACTTCTTGTGTTGACAAACTGATTTATCGAATACTGTACAGAGCTGTTGTGGGTATTCATTTTAAAAAATTTAATCGTGATTTCTTTGTCAAAAGGATATGGAAGAAAGGCCAGGGTAAGACTGGTGAACGTACTCGTTGGCTGAACTCCCCCAACGTGTACCAGAAGGTGGAAGTGTTGGAGACGGGCACAAACGATCCCAAGAAGATCACCAAGGTAGAATATTTGAGGGTTGAGGCGGAATAGGCGGCTTATTTAATCGCACATAAATATCACTAATTTTCCTTAACTGGATTGAACTGTATGAGTTGAAATTTCAAAGGATAGAGAAGCGAGTGGATTGAAAGTTTTTGAAATTTATTCTCACTATTTATAGATTATTGGTGTATTTCTTCCATTTCAGTGTACAAATTTGTGACAGTTTATTAATTCAAATTATCCTTATCTGAGTTAAAGAATGTAGACTGTTTAGTTGATTCCGAGGAATATGTGACCAAATTTATTAAATTTGCTTTGTAAATTCAACAGTATACTTTTTAAATAAATCTTTAATAAAACCGAGAAACGCTAAATATTCCTGATTCTGACAAATAGTGGAAATCCTATGTGGATTGAACAATATCAGTTCAAAATTTAAACGACATAAAATGTAGCCCATATTCCGGACTAAGAACAATATAGGCCTTTAAACTTTCATCTCAATACATTTCAAGATGCAATAAGCGAATGGATTGAATTCTAGGGTTAGAGAAGAGAAGGGATTGAATTTTTTTCACGTTTTTTATATAACCGCTGTTTTCCTGTCACAATTTTACATCATTAATGTGATTGTGGATTTATGGTAATATGTGTCTTTATTCCGTTCACTTTGTAATTTTTATTATAGGCGAAAGTGACGTTTTCTACAAGATTTACTGTATATCACAAAATAAAAGCTTTCTTATCGCTCATCACCAACGTAATTAAGACAACGACTATCCTAATGTGTTCTGAACTTCTAGCGAAAAATTTAATGATTAATTTTTCTGAATTTGTATTTGCCACAGAAACAAATGTCACCAATAATGCATATTAAAAAGAACTGCAATATCAACGGGAGGTTATAAGCAAATGAAACGCATTCCAATTTATTTTTTACTTTATTTCTATATTTAAGAGTGTGTAATCGTTTTTTTTATAAAGGGTTTTTTGTATATTTAGATTTTGTTTATTCTTAACGAAAGTGAGATATTACATTTTTTTAAATCAAATCGGTGTGTATATCACGTAATTTGTAAAATATATTACGTTACCAAAAACTTATAAGATTTTACAATATTTTTTGTTTATCTATTGCTGTTATATTATCATTAATGAGAGATTCATAATGTGCATTATGCGTACACTCACTCTGTCTAAATCGCATATGTATAACTTTTATATAACATGCTTTAGAAATAAAATATATGTGTGTCAGAAAATTTTACATAATTTCAATAAATTATTCGTTTTTCTTGTCATGATACAAAAAAATACGATATAAATTTATTATTATTTTTTTTATACAATCTATATAATTCTGTACCCAAAGACATATATAATCGTTGCTAATATATACATAGGTTTAATATGATAACGAAGGTTAACCAATATATCAGATTAATTATAAATTATTGCTTAAAAGTCTATATTGTTATATATTTTTAAATACTACTTTATTTTCTAGATTTTTTTAAAAACAGCAATAATAGGCAGCTAGATTTATCCAGCGATAGGTTTAGTTATATATCCAATCTTATTTACAAATAGCGTAGAAATCTAAAGTGCAAGAGGTTTATTTTAGACTTGCTTTATACCTTGTAAAGGTAATTCATAACTCAATCTTGACACACGAAAAATAGCGCTCAAAATGTTTCAACGTCAATTTTATCATAAGTTTATATTATTAATGAACGGTCATGTTTGTATTATGTGTTGCAATTGATATGGGGATTACGTTATTATGTGAAACTACTAATATAATTCGTACGGTTATGCTCTTATCTCATGAGGATTAAGCGAAATCGTAAATGTATTACTTTATCATTGATAAAAGACATCATCAGATTAGAACAATCGTGATGTTTATTTAACAGTAATATTTGTCACTCGTCGCGTCAAATAGTGACACAAAGGACCTTCGTCACTTGTCAAACAGTCGACTTTGACAGACTTAGGTGAGATGACAAGTGCATGACTCGTATATTTTCTCTTTTACTTTAAGGAGGCCTACTGCCTAACTATATTGACTTGGTTTTGTTGATATCAAATTCAATCAAAATGCCCTCGACGTTGAATACTGTATTTAACTTGAACTAGTTTGATATAACACAATGTATTGAACATACACACTGTATCTAACAATATTTATCGATGAGTGGTTATTGATTAAATCCAATCTGAACCAAGCGAAACCAATGTAGTAATTTGAGCCTTCATGAAAATGGGATTCTAGTAAAATTTTACATAATATCGTTTTCCTTGAATATTTTAAACTTGAAAACTAAGTACAGTCGGCTACATATATTTGGACACGGTCAAGGTGACTGAATAATAAGATCAAAAGTGATCAAAAATATCTGGAAATGTCTATATGATTGTATCAATAAGCCGAGCTCGTTAACTAATTGTAAAGTCAAAAATAAACAATTTTTTCAGAGATGAGAACATTCAAAATTTCGATTAGGCTTCAGATGAAATTTATTTCGTAAACATGCCAGTAACAAAAACGAAAAGTGTTCCTACTTTTAGCACAAACTTATCAAATTAACATTAATAAAACACTTATCGATTAAGAAAAAAATGTCCAATTTGCTAATACCAATAAAAATCGATTTTTTATTTAATATTAAATGATAAGCAAAATGTATCGGATGAGTATAGAATATTCTTGCATCATATAAAGTTTAGATATGTGACTGATGCATGTCACATGCGTACCTAAAATATCTAAAGGGAACTTTCGCTGTTTAAGACAGACTAGTTGTCATTTTGGCTTTGACTAACCTCAAATATTTGACTCCGACTGTACATGTGTTAAAAAAGTCGTATGGTACGCTTCGCTATGTGAGTAGTACAAAAAGGTGTGTTTTAATAATAAATTATAGTATGACCTGATTTTTATTGTTTCTCATATTGCATTGCTGATGGTAACATAATTATTTAAATAATTATATCAATATTTTATTCGACATCCGTTGAAAGAAGCCAGAAGCTTAGCTGTAACACTGATCATTGTAGCTAAATGCTTCAAATAGTGATTAAGTGCTTTCTTTATGGTGTTTTTTTACATACCTGAGGAAATTACTAACATAATTTGTCATAAGGTCATCCTATTTACTCAAGAAAAATACTTGTATTTTTGTTTTATAGCTAATAATAACAAATACTGGATTTATATTTAAGATAAAAAGAATACACAGATAAAGTGCTACGGGCAAAAATATTTAAAATTTCATAAAAAAATATAACTCATGTTCCGACTGCTACCTCTGTTCAAAATAATGTGCAATGGCAAATTTGAATTGTCCATTAAAATAAAATTCCACATTAAAACTTCTTCGAACTCTATTTCAATACGATAAGATTGACATTTAAAAGGTGACATATTAATTTTGAAAAAAATCAGGTCATATTTTTGGCTTCTAGATTATTATGCTTATAGAGACTATTTGAAACATAAATTATTATTATTATCATAGAAATAATAAATAACAATAAAGTCTTTAAAAATAACATAACTTTCAATCAAGCTTCTCTCACAAATGAAATGCTTTTGATATTATAACTGTCGTTTTTGTGATTTTTTGTGTTTTTTTTTATTTTTTGTCTTTTTAGTGACTAATCTAATAATGTTTTGCAGTGGGTGGATGCTAACAACGAAGAGGTAATTAACATCATTTTAAATGACATCAGTTTTTCTTTCTTTTCTCTATCCTCCTACTCTTTCTTTGGTTCTTTTCTTCGTCTGGACAAAGAAAATAATAGGCTTACTTGGTATCTCTAATAAAGTTCAGAATTGTCTGACATTTACTTTTAGAAACGACTTTTAAACGTGGCTAGTTTATTAGATGGTCATACGTTGATTGGTTGATACAAGTAAAAGTTTAAGTGGTAAAATTCGGATCGGTGGATAAAACTTAACTATCCATACTCTTACGCTCGTGTATAAAAAGGAATAAAAGTAATTACTTGAGTAAGAATAATAATTTGAGCAAATACATCTAACAAATAAACAAGAATTTTAATGGAGTAAAAACTGTTAAAAGTAAGGATACTTTTATTATTAGCTATTAACAGTTTTTGTTTCGTTCAAATTCTCGTCAAGTAGCTGTTACTCAAGTAGCTTCTAGTACCGCTAGCAACGTCATCGCGTGAGATTGCCCTTGCTGGTCGTTATTATCACATTTTTGTTTTTTTATGGTGTTCTATAATTGTTTTGTTAAGTTTGATAATCTTTACACAAAGAATATCAACTACCAACTTGTATTTGACCTATGGAAATTTAAACGGAGTTCAATTATAATTGTTATTATTTTGACGACGGTACCAGTTGAAGTGCACATATTTAGTATTGGTCGTGAGAAGCTATATACTCTATTTATAATAATGTTCCATAAGTTTTATAAGATGATATAAAAGTTGCGTGTACAATTATGGACTCGATGGACCCAGTAATCAGAGAGGGTTGCATTTAATTAGTAACGTTAATAAAACACTTAAAACTTATATGGTAGTTAATTATTAAGCTTTATATTTTGTTTCTCTCCTTGAAATTTCATCTGTAGTTTATTAAGAAACTGAAGCGAGTCTGTTAGTTTTCTTAGTCCAGGCAACTTAATTTACAACTGTCTTTATATAGTCTGCATCATAATTATGAAGATATTGTCAAGACGAACAAATAACTAGATACCAACGTGATCAAAATCCAGTACTCGGCTGTAATTATTGCTCCTCGATCTTTAGAAAGAGACAATCGGCTATTTCTTTATCGTATATAATAATAATTATTAAAAAATCCTATCCGAATAATACTGAGCTTTGTTGAACGGGACTCTGTAGATCGGTGACATCACCCTGTACAACAATAGGCAGTGCTCGGAAACAATACAGAAGTGTATGGATAGGAATTATCGTTTTTCATTTCCCATTGTCCGTTTTGTCGGTTTTCCTAGAAACATACTGTGAATATAGTAGTTTTACTGCTATTACTATTCTTCTACAAGGTAACGCCTTGTTTTATTACTTTCATAACAGCAGCTCTATGAATCCGAAATGAGTCGATTGCCTCTTTCCAAAGTTCGATGTACAATATCGCTGTAATAATTTTAAGTTCAACATATTATATTTCAATTTTCTTGATATTATAGTGTTTTATCAATTTAAATATTTTGGATGTTCCAATGTTTTTCATTGCTTAGATTTTATATAATTGTTTTTGGATATCTTGACTTTATCTAAAATTTTGATGCCGACTGTACAATCTATCCTAAAGGTCTTAACAGTGAACAACACTACTCCTTTATATGTTTATATTCAACTGATTATTTTGTACTGTTACACAATGTTGTATAACTAATTTATTTATATAATTAGTAGTGTTGTTATAATAATTTTCATAGGCTTCGACCTTTTTGTGATTCGACAGTGATTTTATGGTAATTTTCTAAATAGATGGTTTTTGACCATTGAATGTAGGTGACCTTGAAAATAGTCAGAAAATCAATTAGAAAATGTTAGGAATAATATTAAAGAAATGGTAATTTAAGATACTAATAAATACTATCGATAAATAATATGTAAAATCGATTTAGTGTTCGGTTTATAGTAGAAAATAATAAACTGACGCCGTTTCACTAAAATTGATATCACGGATAGTACTTATATGATTACAGAAAACTACATCATCTAAAGTTCAAAGTACAGTCGGCAAAAAAAAAAAGCTCTTTCAAATTTGATCAATTTCTGTGAGATGCAATAAATATAGAGTTATGTTAGGTCATCTGAATTATCTGACATTTGAAGTAATAGTCGCATTTATAATATTATTACAAGGGAAAATCTACCTTATTTCAATAAAGTTCAAATGAATTTCAATCGTAGGGTGGTAAATCATGTTTTTGGCTGACCGTACTTCTTAGTAGTATTTTTAATGCTGCTTTCATCACATTGTGTACAATGAATAAATGTTGTTAAAATTCACTTGCTAAAACAGTAAAAATATGTTTAATATTTTATTTACTTATTCATAAATATCAAGAGCATTTCATTATTTACCCTGGTCTAGAACACAATTGTTAAAGTTTTGACAATTTGTTCGTAAACATCGAGTATGTACAGTGTAGCGAAAGGAATATATTAAAAATGTTGCCACATTTGAAATTTAAAAGCACTCCCCCTAATCGTCCCACGCCCTTTTTGTTTCATCCTACGTTTTTGTTTCCTTCATTCGTGAATGTTGAGGATCGAGTTGAGATTCCAATATAGAACTATCAGTGTTGCCAATTATAGATGAAGCAAATTTTTTCTCCTATTAAATAGTTGACGCTTATCAACAAATATTTGTTACATATTGTGTTGGCAACACTAAGTTATTGGATGAAAATTGAATATTACAAATTTGGCTTTGCATGACGAATGTATTGCAGAATGCTATTGTTTTCTTTTCTGTATATTTAAAAAAATACCTATACTGTACACGCTCGATGTCTGCCAGGATACAAGAGTAACAATTTATTTTATAATTCTTATCAGTCCAACCTATTTCTCCTTTGATATCGCACAATTTTCTTTCTTCCTTTTTCACACGCTTCCTTCATTAACCCTCTCGCTTTCTACGGTGATAGTAGTAAAAAAACATTAATGCTGGCAACATTTTTACTAATATGGAAACTTTTATCTCTCTTCCTTTCGCTACACACGCTAACGCGGCGGACTATCGACGTTATAACGAATGGCAGTGGGTTCAAGATGGCTCGCCCGCGCACTCTAGTACTCCAGTGAAGATAGACACTCTGCAATTTGTGCCCAAGAATACGAACCCTAAGGAATTCAAGGCATTACAGCAACAGGTAAGCTACTTTTATCTACGTCGGTTCTTTATCATTTTTCTGTTATTCTGTCTCTATCGCACAAAAATGTCGTCTTCTAAAATAAGTTAACTAGTGAAATGTTCACTGCAGCCGGGCGGTATGCCTGAATTTGTTAACATCATCATGAGACCTTTTACCTCAACACTCCAGGGGCTCAGGCCTTCCTTATGGATGGTTAAGGAGGATGGGTCTTGGTCTTCCACGCTATCCCAAAGCGCATTAGAAGGTATTAACGACTGCAAATGCAGCCGTAACAAACGGTTTAACGTGTCATCTATAACCCAAGAATATTTAAAGCACGAGTGAATAGGTATCTTCTGGGCAAACTCGTCCCATCTTAGGTGTTACGCTTAATGTTATTACGCCTGAGGTCAAGAGTGAGCCCATCTCGGATAAAAAAAGATACCTATGGATAGAGATACGTAGTGTTTTATTTTATCGGTCACATAATCTTTTATATTATTATCCGGTTTTTCGTCTGCCTTAAGTACAGACTATATATTATTACGGGTCTGGATGTTGTGGTGACCCTGAAAAGCCAGATTTTTATGACGCAAGTACGTTTTTATTTTTACATATTCAATTATTTACTGTACAACTTATTTGAAGGTTTTTATGCTTTACTTCGAACTCCTGAATAGATTAAAGAGAATCGCCGCGCGGACAAGATCAGCGCTGGACCCCAGTCACATATTCTGGAGGGGGTCACATGGGACGAGGCCAGCAAGTTGGTGGGAGAAGACGCGGCCAACACTCATACTGGAGATCATGTGGTAACTATGTGTTTGCGTCTACTACTAGTACGAATTAAAATGACACAAGAAGGCCTATTACGTTTCTTCGAAAACAAAATTTCTTCGTTTTCTAAATGCTAATAGGCTTGTGTCCTACAAATGAAAATGCCAGTTTCTGTTATAAGTTCAGAATATATGAATCATTTTGACTTATAAATATTTAACAGAATGACTTTTATGACACAATTTGTAAAACATTACGCTTTAAAAAGTAGAAAAAACAAAATTTGTTTATATATTTGGCATTAAATTAGTTACATTAAAATATTATAATTTTCATTATAACAGCTAAAAAGATAAGCGCACAAAAAACAAATATAATACAAATATTGCTCAAACTTCCAAACATTTTTCCCTACTGTAGCGCTGAGTGACGTCACATTTTGCCTTAAATTTGCAGTTCCACAAACATAACACTGTAATTCCGAAACTATTACGCAGACATATAATGATACTGATGATAAATATTCTCGTCTCCAATACAGGTATTGATGGGTGCCGCTTCAAAGGGCATCATACAGCGTGGCTACCAACACAACGCCACAGTGTACAGCGCCCCGTATGCTCGTAACCCGTTCGATCACGTCACAGATAGAGAGATAGACGAGTACCGACGCATCGTCGAGAAGAAATCGCGCTCCGACTGTAAGTGACATAGATAATAAATGTGCAGGGATGGGTGACCGCTGATCACTCATCCTTCGTTTTAATGTATCTGCAGCGTACGACACGGATCAGGCTTGAGTGGGAAGATAATTTAAGTGTTTCTAAGTTCAGCAGCGCTTCAATGTTTTGATTTAATTTCATGTTTCATTTCAGGTTTTGAAAATTCAAATTTGACTTGTTATATTATCAACAGATGTCTAAACTAGAGTTTATTGAAAATTTCGGGTTTCAAGAAAGTTCGGGTGTAATTTCAAGGGGGCCGAGAGCGTATGCATTTTGAAAATAAAAAAAAGCAATTACACAATGAAAAATCACATTCACCCATTCTCTTAACCATCGTTAAAAACTCGACGTCGTTTATCACAGTACATGCAAGTGTTGAAGTTGTTTTTTGAGTTTTTATTGAAAAAGCAAAGAGGGGGACCGTGAAAATATTTATTTATAGTGCTGGGAGCTGCACAAAAGAAATGTTGAGAAACCCTGAGCTTTATATAATTCCTTATATTACAGATGACACAGACCTGTCCGAGTCTGAAGCGATCAGCGCGGCACAGATCACTTCACCGGCCAGCGCACCGTCTGAAACAGAAGAAGAGTCTAGAGATGGTATGACGTCCTATACTAATATTATAAGAGATATAAGAGAAAAAAATTGGATGTATGTTTGTTTGCAAACGAATAGGCTCCGAAACAACTGGACTGATTTTAAAATTACTTTCACCTACGGGAAGCTACATCATATGCGGTGAACATGGGTTGTATTTTATCCCAGAAAACAGTAAATAAAGGAATGAAAATGGGTGCGTTAGTTTTCATAGGGAATTAAAACGTTTACCATAGTAACCATGTCATTACTCAATTTGAAATCGTAATTTCATCCGTGTCATGATAAAGGTCTTATATTTCTCCGCAAACGAAATTTCGCCTATTTTCGAAATGCCCATACGATTCCAAAGAAATATATTTCGGTAATTTATGTTGCAACTGAGGTAAGATCTGACACTGCCTCTGATGCACAGATAATTTTCACAGATATGGTTTTAATAAAAATTATATGAACGATTTGAATTTCCGAATTTTCGTCGGAGAACATCAGTAAAGAAGTTTTAAAGGTTTATGCTATAGTTTCTTATTTTTGATAATTACAGAACACCGAGTGCTGAGAATAGAGACGAAACAAGCGCCTGTTAGAAGTCAACCCGAAGTCGTTCTTAGTGACGGTGAGTAATATTAGTGATTTATTGAATATCCGAATGTATCCGAAAATAACCGATAACAGTTCATTATATTCTACCTTTATATTTTGTGTTATATTATTGAACTTTTCGTGTTACCTTAATGCAGTGCTTTTTGATTAGTTGATTGTAATTGGATCATAGTTTTAGGAATGCATTTGGCATGTGTTTTTCATATTTAATTCTGGTTGTAAAGGAAGCATGCTTTTTTTATATTTTGGTTGATGCGACTGATGTAGATTATTCTGTAGGCTTGTTTTAGTAGTTTGTAATGAAAAACTGCTGGATGAAATGGATAAAGACCGACAATTGAAAAAATTGACAAGTTCCATGATGTTTAACGTTTGGTTGACTAAAAAACTATTTTTGTGTCGACCACATAGTGCATGAATGTAGGGGACGTAAAACGCATAACGAAAAAAATCTAAAAACTTTCACTGATTTCTTTAGAATACCGGATAACTACGACACAGGGACATTTATATAATTTTTGTTATGAAACCTAGTTTATGATTATAAAAGGTTTAATTCATTCATTCATTCATTGACTGATTAAATGATATAGAACTTATGTTTCTATTGTTTTTTTTTTCTAATTAATTGAAATACAGTAAATATCGGTTTTTTGGAAGGGTTTACGTCCCCAGAAATGTACGTTATGTATGTATTTTTTAGATACTGTCGATTTCTTGAACATGGAGCGAGCGCACGCAGACAGGACGAAAGGTCAGTAGTTTTAATTAGTTATTAATTTAGTTATATCGAATAATCCTATGTTATTGCATGTTTATTAATAATGACTTACAAATTGCATGATAGTTTGTTTTCTATGCACATATCACTAATATAATATGTAAAATATGTTTTCTTATATCCAAACAATCCTTGAACTGTTTTCAAAGAGTTTGAATTTTTTTTCTATATAGTTTACGTTTTGATTTGGTTTGTTTTAAAGAAAATAGCTGTTGCCGAACAGAATTTCGTAAAATGCAATGAAGAAGCGAAAATTAAATACGAACGAAATTGTTCAAGCTTTGTTGGATCAAAAGAGTAGTACGAGCGATAATATACATTAGATACAATTATGTAATATGTTCCCCTTTTATTGTTTGTTTAAATAACTTAAATTTTTAATATATCGCTTTCAACACAAACTAATATTAACATTTATCATTTTGTAATAAATCTTTTTGTATTAAAGTTATTATGGATTTTATATCTATTGAGCTAGGTCGGTTTTTTCATTGCACTATATAACAGTAGATACGCCCCGAGATCCGAATCTGCTACCCGATGAAGAGGTGTTTTTATCATCGCCGGCAACTTCACCCGTGCCGGACACAATCCGGGCGCAGACATTAAGAGGTGAGGGTTGTGTGCTTGTTGGTGGTTTATTTATCGATATTCAGGAAACATTGTCGATAGCACAATATCGAATTGATAGTACTAGAAATAATGTTAAAAACCTCCTTGGCTTAATCCTTATTCTCATTATGTAATTTTATTATAATTAATTACATAATAATATTGAATTCAATATTTTTCACGTTTTATATAATTTATGCTATCGACAACCGATATCGCTGTAATGTTATTTATCGATATGTGTCTTCCGTTTAATGTTGTATTTGTGTTCTGAACGAGTGGATGAGATCATTTTTAAGATAGTTTTTTGGTTGGAGTTACTGCGATGATTGCTCGAGAATTTTAGTTGTATACTTCACAATTTCGTGTCCACATTTATTGTGATCTATTTATTCTCGATATGATGAAGTAAAGGAAATGACGATTTCTTTTCCCAGAACTTTCGGATCTTATATTTGTCTATATTTTTCAGATCGGTAGTTGTAGTTGTTTCATGACTAATAATAATCATTTAATTTACTGTGGTTTAATTTTGGTAAATGAATTTTTGAATTTAACTACTAAATAATTGTGATTTTAATACGGTATAAGCGGAGTACCTTTTTAGATATTATACAAAATATATAATACACATATCAAATTATTTTTGACATATGGTTGGCACTCAAATTATAACTCCCATTAATAATATCTGTCGCTCATCTATAGATGGTTTCTTTCGAACTTGCATATTATGAGTGTAGTAAAAAACATAATTTGTTTTTTAACGTACAAACAGCAGCTGAAGATTCGTATCTATCCGACGAGGTGTTTGTTCCATCAACAACGACAACTCAACAACCAGTTGTAGTTAGAGCGCAACAACCGGTGGTTGTTAGACAGACGGTTGTAAGAGGTGAGCGTGATCGGGTGATGAGGTGATAAGGTTAACGCTATAGTAGACGTGTCCATGTGACCTGTTCTACGAGGGTTGATAGTTTGTCGTGTTTATATTCTGTGTTGTTTCAGGAGGGTAATAAAATTGTTAGATATCCATATGTGTATACGTTTATGTTTCAAGCGGGTGATTATATGTTTCGTTAGGGGGATAAACGTCTTGGTTTATACATATTTCGTTGACGATGTGTTTAATATTATGGATATGTATTGGTTACTTTTAATTCGGTATATATTTTGCAATATATTTGTTTATATTTGTACTTACTGTGTATTTAATTGCTATAATCATTTAGTAGTTTAAACTTGGACGTATTGTAATAAAAACTTTTACAGAAAATTCAATTGATTATGTTTAAAAATCATAGTTTCTCATGTTGGCCTGGATTCCAATGCCCGCAGATAAACCTCGTGTTTAAATCTGCTTGCTAAAACACTGAAAAGTCAATAATAATGAATCCGATCATTTCATCATTTTTTTTTTGCAGAAAAGCACCTTTTCCTTTGTTTTCCGCCATATATTAAACCATAGAATAAGTGTTCCGATGAATGAACCTGTAAGCGGATATCACATCGTAATATACGATAAGGGATCCAATAATATCTAAGATTAATTTATGTATCAAATATAATATTCATAATTTTTATCTCTTAGAATAGTAGAGAAAAATTATATTTTTAATTCACTGGAACACTTATTATACGACATAATTATATTCGACTAACTATGCTAACACCTCACCTCACCAGGTAATCGGTCAAGAGTCCCGCACGAAGCTTTATCAGCAAACAAAAGATCTTTACATGACTACCCGCGTAGCTTTAAATTAGAAAATATAATACAAAAATTCGATGTCCCCGACCCTAATAAAAAACATCCAAAATGCAAACTGAGCCTTAACAACTGCTTAAAAATAAATGACATTAAAGTTTTAGAAACACAAAACGCTGGTTTAATGAGCTCGCGCTCTAGCCTGTACTCTATACCTTCGATAGAGTGGGACGGGAGATATAAATCTGATTACACTCTACGCACACGCTCCTTACCTAGACGCAGGGTGAATAACACTGTGAATTTATATAGGACGCGATCTCACAGCGGCTTTATTAATAATTATGTCAAAGATCCGGAACCGACTCACTACCATTTGCCTAAGTGTCGATCGTGCGGCGCTACTAATAATTCTTACGCTTGGGAGTTAGCCAAAGATCGTAAAACTACCAATCATTCTTTATATTTATCTGTTGATAATATTGCTCAAAAATGTATAGAAGATTCTAAACCAAACTCTATCACTATACAACAGAATTCGCTGCCAGTTTTCACTGTGGCTAAAATTGACAATGAGTTTGTTGAAAGTCAGGAATTCAACGAAGACAATTATTTAGATGACATAGGTACTAGTTTTTCGTCTGAAAATCAAACTGTTTTAGTAAAACCTTCACCTGAAAAAAGTTTAGATATGGTTGTTGTTGAAGAAGTAAAAAAGGAACTTGAGATAAATAATGTTGATATAAACGATGAAGGTGTGCATAGAGCTATATGTGTAAACATAGAACCAGAAATGCAAGATGAAAATAATAATAATACAGTGGAATCTGTCGAGGGAGAATACCTTAGTTTTACAGATGAAATGGATTTTGAAGAAGCTGTATATGAAAGTCCTGTTAAAGAACTAGTGGGGAAAGATATTAGAGATTATTCTGTCCCTATCAATTTGTATTGTGAAGATTATTCAAAAAAGGATGACAGTCCTTCGAAATCACCTCAAAAACGACGAGAAATACCCAGAGCAAGTGTTCTAGAACCAATATTAGAAGAATCTAAGTGTTCTAATGATGATTCTAACAATTCTAAAGACAACAAAGATATAACTATTGCGGCGTCAGATTGCAGTTCAATAATACAAAATATATTTGATAAAGCCTATGCAGTAGTGGAATTAAAAAACGAAATTATGTATTCAAGTGATAACAAAGTAACGACTGACTATTTGGAAGCTGAATGCGTTTGTAAGGATGTTTATCTTATTAATGATGAAGAATCAGAAGTAACTAACAATGAGATTGAAAGCGATTCCGCAAATGTACAAACGGCTATAGACGTTTATGAACAAATCAATGTACCTATAGAAGAGCAATTAGTTGATTGTGTCTATGAAAATGTAGTGGAGATTCTATCTAAAGATGCTTCTGCTCTTAATACTGAATCTTATGATCATGATAATAAGGAGGTGAGATCTAGTCTGTACAGTATAAGTTCAGGAAGTGAAATAGTTAGTTTCGATTCTACTATTGAATTTGAGAAATACGAAGCTGTTACAGAGCTGATAACTTCTATTTTGGATAAAATAGATTTCAGAGAAAAAGAGAAGAATTTTTTTAAAGTACTCGAAAATCGTGTTAATGATACACAATTTAATATAAGAAAGGATATTATATTGATGAATGATGAATGTTTAAAATTGGATAACGTAGTTGGCATCGAATGTAAAGAACATGTAAATCCAGTTATGTTTGAGTCTTTCTCTATGAAACAGATTATTGAAAATATAGAAATAAATGTAAATTTAAATGAAACTGTATGTACTGAAGCAAGCGAATGTGAAACTACACAAATACAAAAAATTGCCGAAGCAATAGTCTATTACATTTTTGACGCGGCATGTTTTATTTGCATTAGGAAAAATAAAGTAAAGAAAAATTGCAAAGTTGTTACAATTGTGGATAACGAAGACATCCTTTTTACTGCGGTAGATTTGTGGAGTGATAATTTTAACATAGCAAATTTATCAGAAAAAGAATCTGAAGTACTTGGGGCTTGCAAAATTGCTTCAGAGATTAATATTGAACAATCCAACTTAACTGAAACTTGTCTTAATAACAATTTGGAAGTAACGGAAAGCATGGTTTACGTATATAACGAAAAGAAAGTTTCAATATCTGAACATTTTTCTAATAACGACGTAAATATGTCACATATCAAAGAGGCAAAGATAGCGTTTAATGATAATTGTGAAATTGAAATGTGTTTCAAAGAACGTGATTTAACAAATGGCACTAGTGATCTTCAAGAAACTAAGCAAATAGAAACTGACTATAATTTAGATGAGTCAGACTATAAAGAAACGCCAAATGATGATCAAAATGTTATTTCTATAAGTAACTACAGTCAGTTTGTTGAAGATGTAAATAAATATGATCAAATTAATATCATCAATAACGAAAATGATGATTTAGACAATGTCAGTAGTACAAGTGAAATAGAAAGCGCTAAAAGAGAAGCGAATATTGATAACTTCTTAAACGAAACTTTCGTTTTAGATACTAGAGACGCCGATATGAATACTGCATTCGTAGAAGACGTAGGAAGTAGATCATCCACTCCGAACGACGTCAGCGCTTTCGATAGCTGCGCTGCATCGCCGATAAAAAATCCCAACAACAGTTTTGCAGGAGACGATTTAAGTGTTTTATACGAGAAAGACGATACACTTTTAGGGTCACCATTCGTCAAAAAAGCTCCAGTTATATCAATGTCGCAAACAGAGAACAGTGGAGGTTTGAAATATTGGCTTTCTTTCGATGAGAGTTTAACACAAGAACGACATATAGTCAATACGAATAGAAAGTATGACGAAAACAAAATGCCAAGTTTTGTAAGTATTAATTATGATGATGAGAAATACGACGGCTTGAAAAGGAATAGTGTTTTGCATGAGACATTTGATGACAGCCATTTTTATACTAACAGTTTTACGTCAGCCTGTGCGTCTACTGATGATTACAATACTTGCGAATCTAAATCTTTCGATACACCACGTGAAAAACTGTTGTATGATTCGAGAGTCGATAATAGATCGCAAAGGAAACATACTAGTTGGCCTCCGTTCGATGAAACAATATTTTACAGAATCATATCGAAATTCAGAATGTCTGAAAGTTTCGATCCTAGCGATTTAGAAATTAGTAGACTCGATACCAGCTTATAAAGAACAAAATTATTAACAGTTGAATATAGAATTACAGTCTTTAAAATAAGAATTAATTTAACAGCAGGTAAGTTATTAATTTTACCAAATGTTTTATTTCTGAGTTTCGTATGATATGAAACAAATTACCTACTTTAAAAGGTTATATTAAGGAAATAATTTTATTTTTATAATGTTATGTACGCGGGTAGTCATGTATTTTTTTAAAGATGCATGTTATTTTTTCTGTTTCATTAACATTGTTTTATTTGTGTTTGTATAATTTATTGAGCTTTTTTAATGTTCTTGTTTTAAATAACTATTTGTATAAAGTGGATATTGAATTACCGCAAAATTATTGGAATGTTTTTTATTATTCAAATAGCTACTATATTGAAACCTCTTCTCAAATTAAATAATATGCCAAAGTCAACTTTGATAGACATAAGAACACATAGACAATTATATTAGTTTTAAAATTAAAGGGAATCTACAATAAATTGATAATTGTACTCTCTATTGCTATAGCGGAATTATCATATTATACACAGAAAAAAGCAAATAATCCAAAATAATATGAGAATAGCTTAGATACATTTATTTTTTTTGTATGTAAATACATACTTCATGACCTAGTTTGAGTGGAACATTATTGACATAGTAATGCATGTTTTTTATAGTTCGATATTTTCAGGAGTTACTAAAATATTTGGCTTAGGTAATTTTATATCCACCATCGTAACATGTTTGTAAAGTTTATATTTAGGAATTTGATAGCCGGTGTCCATTTCGTATTGCTTGCTAATTTATAACATGTTATGTTCGTCTTGATGTATGTCTTATGTTATTAAAGTGTATGAGTAACGTGTTATGCCGTTTCTTTCATTTTCATGTCTGTATTGTACCGTGCTATTCTGTTAAAGATACAGCGTAGCACGTAGCGTCGAGTCAAGTAGAGGTTCAATTTAAAACGTTTTTTAAAAGCAATAAAGATGTAATTTGAATTAATCTCTAATAATGTGATAGCGCAGTGTTTGAAAGCTGCATTTTTCAATATATGTATATAACAAAGCTGAATAAAATCTTAAACTCAACAGCCTATTAGATTCCAATTTTGTAATAAATTTCAAACTTAAAAATACATTTCATTGAAAGAATAATTTGACGTTCTTTTGTTGTGACATGCTACTGTAATTACGCCGAGAAAATAAATTATTTTCTGAATTAAGCTATTATTATACCCAGCAAAATAAATGGATAAAAATATATTCTAATTTAATCGCCAGTTTCGAAGTTAGTTATCGAACTTGGTACAAATGGTTCAATACTGGATTTCTGAATCAATAGAAGCCTTTTTTATGTCATAGACATGTGACAAAATTGTTAGTTTAATCAGTGTCGAAAGCAAAACTGAGAAACCATTTTATTTTTATAGCATGTATATAACAATGACAAATGTCTCACTGTTGTTTGTTAGTCTATGATAAGTTGCAAATTAAGTTAAAATCATTTGAATTTTATCTGTAGCGTTATCACGAAAAATAATGACATTTAATAATTTTATTTTATAATCTATTTTAAAACATACGAATATATAGTATTCCAAAAAGTATAGTTATATAAAATCAAAGAGTATTATAAATCTGGTATTAAAAGCTATCATTACACCTTACATCACTTTGCATTCAATTGTCGTGCTAAGGGGCCGTCCATTAATCACGTGAGGCTCGATTAGTAAAATATCATGAAATATCACAAGGGGGAGTGGGGTGGGGAGTAATATATCACGTGTTTTTATGTTTTCCTCAACGCGCGATTATTAAACCGAAAAGCGACGTCAAAAATTAAGATCCCTTGTTTTTTTAAATACACGTGATTTGGTTGAAGGTGGGAGGGTGTAGTCTTAAACCACACCATGTATCACCAAGGGGGGGAGGGTAAAAATGTTGAAAAAAAAAACATCACGTGATTATTGCACGGCCCCTAACGTCGCAGACGTGTTTATGTGTGCACATATTTTGGTTTTTTAATGTTTACCTACTAACTTTTTTTTATTGTTATCAAATTCATTGCAACTACTTCAATTACCAGACTGAATTCGAATCCGCGATCTTTCACCTTCCAACAGAGTTACAGAAAACTTTGAATTTTACGAAAAGTTTACGACTTAATTTTTTTATTAATGTGTTGGTAGTAGATTTTTTTCAAATATCAAATACTTGTTTACATTTAATTTTTGTACTTGAAATGATGAATTTGATAATAATTTTACTTCAGCAATATGAAGAAAAATCTTGAATTTTTTAATAATGATATGTTGTAAATAGATTTTTTTTTCTTCATTAAACTTGTATCTGCATACATTTCTGAATGAATATATATTTTGCCGCGTTTTTTGAATTGCTGATGTATTTGCAAAAATTGTGGCTTTACTTGGCGCATCCATTCGTGCACGCTTGCATGACAGCTTTCGAATGGATAAGGGGGCGGAGCTTTAGTCGCTCAACTACTAGCAAAGGTGAGATGGTTTCTATATGAGATTTCTTATAAATAAAGCGGCATGCAGACGACGGTCACAATATGATTAAGTTGTCCTAAGTGATAAACGGTATTGATTAGCAGGGATGTGTATACGTGACGTCACGAGTGTCTATTAGTCAACGACATCCATGTCATAGTGAATTAGCACTGCGGCCCGCGATCGTTGTTTTTAAGTAACTTTTTCAAGGGTCGGTCACGGGATGGGTGACCAAATAATTAAATAATTATCATCTTGAGCAGTAGCTCAAGATTTGGTCCGTAATTCCGTTCCGTATTTCCGTTCACTAATTAGGAAGGCAGGTTAATTCGTTGGTCCCGGCTGCATTTGCAGTGATTAATACCCTCTAATTCGGTGGAGATTCATGGGCCATCCTCCTTAACCATCCTGCAGTGGGAACGTAAATGGGCTGATGATGATTCATGTTATGACAAAATTGCTTCTAATGACCGCAAGAGACCACCCCTAGATATAGCGTAATAAGGACGAATATTTTAAAACCACACACAATAAATATACATTTTTTAATATTGATTAAGTAATGACATGGTTTTGTTAATGATGACTGGTGAGTTTTAGACGGTTCTCACCAGCCAAAAGTCATCCTTAACGATAGGTATAATAATTAGGAAAAGTAGTGTTAAGACAATGTATACCTATACCTAGTTTGATATATTGACTACACCGACAATTTGTGTTGGTTTCCAAAGATTCAGATGATCCAGCACATCACTACTATTAATTTACCGTGTCTCTGTCTAAAAAGTAATTGGTTTTGAATTGGAGATGCTGACTGATGGAGAATTCCCATTTTAACTTAATTCCCGGTCATGTAGAGAAAATATTAAAAATCGTTCTTTTTTATTTGGGTGATTGTGGCACCTTCATTCTCTTGGACATCTTTAAAACAAGCTACTAGAATTCTGATCAATATGAAATTGCTAATATTTTGTTTGATGGTTATATTTATTGTATATATTGATTACCAGGCGAGCATACAGTGAATGGAGACCACTCGGACGCCCATCAGAGCACATTCTCTCACAGCAGTAAAGAGGTAAGTACGTGCCTCAACTTTAGGCGATATTGTACGAAATTACCACTATTTAAACCGATTTTATTCTGAGGCTATTCAAATATTTGCCAAAACTAGAAACATATTTTCAACAATTGGCTCGATAGAAAAGAATCGCCAACTCTAAATAGGTTTTTGGATTAATTTTATGACTAATATATTTCATTTTGTTTATATACATACAAAAATAGGTCTAAAAGTAACCAAAATACTTTTTTTTTATAACTTCCTTTGATTTTTTCTGTGATTGAAAATGTATGAAATCAAGCAAGCGCGTCTTTACTCTCGGTGTATATTTGTTTGTGTATTTGTATTCGAACGTAAGCGGAGGTACAAGAGGCCTTAAAGTTGAATTAAACTTCCGACACTTAGGAATTTTAAAATGTCTGTGCTAATAGGTCTATTGTTTTGTATCCGTAGAAACAAAGTAGCAACTTGTGCTGATACATAACCTAATTTAAAGTTCTTTCTTATAATAAATAGGGAAAGCATACTTTTTCCTAGTGAAATCTAGAAGTTAACGAACTTCAACAAAATTTACATTTTCATTTCGTTTTCGAAACTTTCAACTAGTTTTATAAAAATAAATGACATCTGAAAAATCTGTAATAATGAATTATTAATGAAATAACCAAATCATATTTTCGTAAGAGTATATATCATATTCAAATCATTAAACTCTCATTAGCCCAGAGTTATACGTAAAATTCACTTCATTACATTTATTATTGTAATTATTTTCTTTTTTAAAATGATAAATATACAAGTCACTTTGTAGCCAAATTATAAGTTTGCGAGAGAAACTGTTTTTGACACACTTTTCGCCATCTTTTGTCCTTATCTATCTCAGTGAGGTAGATAGGGACTTCAGTTTTACGCTCCCAATTAAATGCAATTCACAAGATCCCTGTAAGTATATTTATTCCTGTAGTAACGTTAATTTTATTTGTTCAGGGATCCCCGTCAAAAGAGGTGTCGACTGAAGATTCCCCGAAAAAGGACAAGAAAAAGAAAAAGGGTCTGAGAACGCCCTCCTTCTTGAAAAAGAAGAAAGAAAAGAAGAAGGAGAAATCTAGCACGCCGCAACCCGCCTAGAGGTATCAACAACATTATTATTATATCCTTAGCACAGTTGATGAACATGATGAATTTCGTACGTTGACCTCTGTATCTACTGTTACCGTTGACGATATGGTAAACGTTTTAGGTTCACTTTACTGTGACAAAATTGGCTAGATGCATCTGTGCGAGCGCAATAGCAATATGTTTACGCACAAGTGAAAGAGATATGTAATGCCGGGTCATTGTACGAAATTATCTCTGTTCGCCGACCAACTCTGTGTTGAATCAATTAAATAGGGATGACGACTGGGTAAAAAAATGCAATTCTATTTAGTCTGTCAGTCAGATAATAGAAAAATATTAGATACGTATTTTTTTTTTACCTTAATTTAACAAGCAATAGCTTAGGTAACATGCATTAAAGTAGAGGAGTGGGGGCTCGCTACGTCACAGTTTAGTAGAAAACGTACCATAACGTGACGTCATGCGAAATTTCAACTCCATGTAACGCCGTAATTTTATGATTACGAAAAAAATACGTGTTTAATATTTTTTAACACTCTACTTGACGGACAAACAAACAAAAATTAGTCGTTATCCCTATTGTCTATGGTGTGCCTTCCTATTTTCTTTCTGATTTAATAAAAAACAATTTGAATTTCGAAATTAATAAAGAATTCACCGTCCATTTATAGCTGTTCGTGTTTCTTTTGAGTTTTTAAACTTAATTTGATTTGTTTGTAACGTCTCTGTTTCTTGTATCAACAATTACTGCGTTTGATCCAATTTGACGTAATCATTTTCATGAATTGACAGAAATGTGTCTAACAACGCCATTAAATTCTTAGTTACATTTTCAATGCTTCCTCTTTCCAAACTCATAACAGGGATGATGGCTGGGTAAAAAAAGAAACTATTATTAGTCCGTCAATCACATAATAGAAAAAAAATATCGCATTCCTTTTTTTTTTTGCTTCAATTTAACAAGAATGTCATTGATTATAAACATTAAAGTTTAGGAGTGGGGACTTGCTACGTCACAATTGTGTAGAAAACAATGTACAAAGGTGTAACATTTCAAATCAATGCATCGCCATAATTTATCGATAATGCAAAAAACAAAAAAGTGTTTAATATTTTCAATAATCTACCTTATGGACAAAAAACAAAATAGTCTACATTCCTATTATACGCTGTAGTATTATAATGTATATAATGATAGCTTCAACTTTAAGAGCATAGAACATAAGGTCGATATTTGGCAGCACGTGATCGCCTTTTTCTGTCGCCCTATTCTGTCACTCAGAACCGCCATTTGCTAGAGCAAAATAGATAGCGGCGGTATCATCGAGACTCTTTCTCGCTCTAATAAATACCGTGTTGCTAGATGTATTCCAACTTTTAAGAGGTCTAAGGAGGTAACTCTTCACGTCTAATTCTAAGTCAAGGTCACATGTATCATTTATTAAATATTGTAGTTTCTTGCCATTGCAAATAATAAAATGTCATATATAATATAGAATGTATGAAATAATTAAGACCTTTTTGTCCGCAGATAATTATTCGAAGGAACACTGCCATTTCGCTTTCAATACTTGTATTTTTAATAAGGTAATTCGCTCGAGAACCGCTATGTAAGCTTCGGTGGGCACACCAAATAGCATAATTTCAATCGCACACTATCTCAAGTAACATATACTTTCGACCTAATTTCGATCCATTAAAGTTTGAAATCGTATAAAAAGTGTATCACAATGTCAGTTTTACTATAACATTTAATGTAACTAACTAAATTAAGCAGTGCGAACAATATCAATTTATCTAACTATATTCGTTTCCAATGCGATTTATTTAATGGATGACTCCAGACAAATTTTCCCAACATAAATTTCTTATCGCAGTCATTATAATATAAAAATAAGCGTTTTATATGCACATAAACAATGAAAATGAAGTTTTACTATTTTCAATATAAAGGTGGTTCTACGCTTGATAAATTTCCAAAAAAATATATCCTCGCCCTGATCTTACTCGGTAATGACAAAGAAACATATGCAACGTAATAACAAGGACCTTTAATTTTAGGAACTCGTGTGTATCAAATGTTAGTCCACCTTAACCATTTGAGCTAACATAAAGGCAGCTTTACTATCTAAGCTAATCCCAACGAGAAAAGCTCATCCATTAACAGAAATACAAAACTATGCATTTATAAAACTCATAAATAAATATTTGCCACAAACAACGGCTTATCAAAATTAACAAATCGGAGGAGATAGAATGCGATTGATGTTGAAAGTAATGTTTAGAGATCAGTATCAGGAAGTTGTTTAAAATAAAAATGTTGTAATACATGTACGTACAAATCTTTACAAAGAACTGTTAGGGTGCGTTCACATTGGTATGCTTGATGCACGCGGCCAAATCCGCCCAAGATGAATTAGCGCGTTTAAGCAAACGAAACAGCATATTTATAATAGGATAGACAGGTGGGTTGCGTGAAAAATGAAACCTTATGCTCTCTTTGGTAGTCCCGTGAAGGACAATGATGAAAACGATTTTTTTCTATATTATTTCTGGTCTAATAAAGATTCGTACCTTAATTGACGTCAGTGTGCAACGCTAGCGTATTCGTTGTGAACGCAACCTTATACTTGGCCCTAACACTGCCATATGCTTACAATATTCGAATGGTATTTAAAGATGTATCATTTAGTTATCATTGAGTTTTTTTAAACTACCTTTTTTTCTATGTTCCTTTTTTATGATATAAATCACTAAAACAAATCTTTTGTTTCTCCTCTTTAAATGATACTTATAGAACTCAATGATAATTTAATGAATTTTACGTTACAATCATAGTTCATGGTAAATTTAAATAGTTTTTTAAAGAACAAAGTCTTATAGATTTAGGGCCTAATTGTACACCTGCGTTTTTGAATGTTACATGACATTTTTGGCTGTTATGCCAATTGGGCGATTCTTTTATTTAGTGGTTTGCAATATTAATATAATTATATTTTGAATACCGTTATTAAAATCAAATGAATTTTATATTTTATTTTATTTAAAAAAAAAAATCTTCGAAAATATGAAAAACAGTTATAAAGTCTTAACACGTATTATTTTCAAATAAGCGTTTTATATACCTACTTTTTATTCCGATCTATGGGAGTGGTCGGAACCTTTATTTGATTTGAACACATAAGACTTTGTTCTTGAGATATAATAAGTGTTATTTTTCAAAATTTAACTTATACTTTGCATTGATTATATGCTCATAAAATGTACCCACCAATCGGAATAGGTAGCTAGAGCGATAGCGCTATACAGGTGAGTTAATTTACAACTCCATTTTGGCAGATTTATACGATATGATTTTTATATTTAAAAACTCCATAAAATTTATGACTTCGTTATATAACATAACAAAAAATAGTACCTACCTATTGTTAAATAATTTTTTTATTTTGTCGACATTTTAAGTCAGGTAACTGCCTAAAATGGTTGTTTTAATACTCGTTCTAAAATTTGCAATTATTCGATTATCACTACAAACAATTGAAAAAATATTACTTGCCTTCAAATTTCTTATGCCGGAAATTATTTTTTATAACATTTTTTTATTTTTAATTTTAGTTAAAAAGCCGCTTCATGTATGGACTGGATAATGTTGAATATTTTTCAATATTTTATTCTTTTATTAGAATATATTACTACTATTTTTAAGTTCATTGTACTTTTGTTTACAAGAGAACGTTTCAAGCTAACACTTATTTATTCAGACTTTATTCAGGCACAGAATTGCAATTTTAATCATTTTTTGGAAGTAAATATAATCTAAAGTACTTTAAATATTCAATATTTTCTAGTTCAAGACAATGTTCAGTGGTATTTGGTGCATTCTGTAGTTCTACGGGCATGTAATGCTTTTTTGACGGGGCCACAGACCATGTTTTTTATTGGCCCTTCCCGCCATTTGTGCTTTGTGAAATATTAAGATGGCTGACTGCACGCAAGCATTGACCGTCAAAGTGGCATATAACGCAATATAAAACATATTATTTATGTTAAATAGCATTAATCTTATGAATTGATTTATATATACTCATCAATTAAAAACTTATGATTTTTTTATTAAATTTTAAAGTTTTTTATTGTGTTGAATCTTTGCTGTCCAATGTTTCCGTGCGGTCAGTTTTTAACTATAATTATTAAATGATAAACAAAATATAATATATGTTAGCACTATCTGTAAAGTTAAGGACTATTCGGCTAGCCTACGTTTGTAGATTTTTTAACTTATTTCTTTCTTTTTTTTTAAATTGTGGCAAAAAAGCGGTCGGTTATGTGTAACTCTAAAATAACTATCCGTTATTTTTTATCAACTATATTATGTTATAAAAGTGTGCTAATTTAAAATAACTGTTGAAAGTTATAAGGGTCATAATAATCGACCGTTAAAATATCAGTACAACTGTATACAGATTGTTTAGTATACTTATAGGGTCATTTTTGTAATTAAAACATTATATTTTATATTATTTTATTTTTTTTAAATCAATTTTGGACCCTATAATCAATTTGACATTACCTAGAAAATTAGTCTAGAGTTGTTAAAATGACAAGTTGATTTTTTATTATTATTGTCTTGAGGGGCGTTTTGCTTAGCTATTTTTATTGTAATTTAAATTTATGTTGTATGCTAATTGATATTAAAACCTATAAAATTGATATTTAAATTGTTTTGAATTGTAAAATGAAAAAATGTTTTGTCTTAAAATAAGGGGACTAATGATTGTCCAAATACGTTATATTTAAAAATGAGGTAATTGTATCATACTTCGCATCATCTTCAAAATGAAAATTGATAAATTTATAAGCTACCACTATTAATGTTACAATCTTCATACTAGTTTGCCAATTATTATTTAAAATTTCACACTTTATTTCATGCGATCATCATCATCTATCTCTGTCTTTCTCATTGACGTAGCGAGATGAAATTACGTCAAGTTTTAGTATGATTACTT